CTTTAATGACTATTGATATTGCTCACAATGTCTTCCACCCTTTGAACAACTGTTCCACTGGAAGGCTTAAGCAAGTGTATCTTCTCTGGATGTATTTCTCTGGCTGACTGGACATTTAATTAACTCACCATCAATAAACAGATTTTCTTGCTTAGCTAACAAATGATCCACTCAGAAACTTACTTGGCTTGCGACCTCATTTTCATATTTTAGTTTTTGTGAAGAAATTATGCTGTGATGAGATGCTCCAGTTTTCATCTTCAAATATTCCTTCTATTATTTCCCTGAGAGGGAGCCCAATGCAGGACTCAATCCCAGGATCCCAGGATCATGACCTGAGCCATAGGCAGACAGGTGCTCAACCAGTGAGCCGCCAGGTGCCCCACTCACAGTGGTTTTAAAAAGCATTTATCCAATGACTAATGATTTTGATCATCTTTAATGTGCTTATTTGCCCTCCATTCATCTTTTTTTTAGTGAAGTATTCAAATCTTCGCTAAAAGATGTGGTTGGGGGTTTCTTTATTTAAAGCTGAGAAAGAGGCTTTTTTTTAAAGTAGACTTATGTATTTATTTTTAGAGACAGAGCAAGCACAAGCAGGAGGGGCATAGGGAGAAGGAGAGAGAATCCCAAACAGACCACACTGAGCACAGAGCCCAGAGTGGGGCTCAATCTCAAGACCCCAAGATCACAACCTGAGCCAAAACCAAGAATCAGGTGCCCAACTGTACCACCCAGGTGCTCCAACACTAAAGATGTTTTTTTTTTTTTAAGATTTTATTTATTTACTTATGAGAGACACACACACACAGAGGCAGAGACATAGGCAGAGGGAAAAGTAGGCTCCCTGTGGTGAGCTTGACGTGGGACTCAATCCTAGGACCCTGAGATCACAATCTGAACTGAAGGCAGACACTCAACCTCTGAGCCACCCAGGCATTCCTCAAGAGTTTTTATATAGTCTATAAATGTCTTATCAAATAAGTGATTTGCAAATATCTTACCCCAGTTATGTGGCTTCACTTTTGTGTTTTCAGCAAAAGTAATCAACTGTATTCAGATATATATGTACACACCTCTATAGGGTGGAGGCTTTGCCAATTTCTCCTTGAGATTATGATAACTTCTGATATATTAACCCAATTAACTGAACTTTTATACCTTTATATGTATATTATGATCCTTCTCTATCCAGTAATGTTTTTGCCTGAAAGTCAAAAGCTAGCTATCTACATAGAATTATAGCCCTTTACATCATAAACATTGTAGTTTAAATTGTTTTAGAAACAGGGAAGGAAGTGTTATATTTGGGGACTTTGCTAGAAACTTAAAGGCTTTGAGTTCTGTTCTCTTCTATTGCTCAGCTCAAAACTTTGTTAAAAGTTTGCCACATATTACTAGAAATGATACTAGTCCAATTCCAACAGATTATAGAAATAGACAATTCTGACTTAAACACTGAAAAATGACATCCCAGAATTATCAGAGTGGATAATTCATGCCAAACATCCTACTGAAAATAACGGATTGAGCAAGAGAAACAAAACTCTTGAACACATCAAATAGCTACAAGGATATTTAGAAAGCCTTAGCCACCAACCGGGAGTGGATCAGTGTTCAGAGACGTGAACCATAGCCAATAGAAGACTAACACCCAACATTATCAACCACCTCGACCTAACTGGCATCTGCACAACACCCCACTGAGCAACAGAATAAGCACTGTTGTCCAACAGGTGTGAACCATAGGTAAATCACATACAAGGCCATGAAAATGTCTCAGTACATTTAAAAGGACTGAAATGATGCAAAGTATGGGGGTTTTGACCACAATAAAAGTAATAAGAAAAATCAACAACAGAAAGGAAAAATTGGGAAGTACCCAAATATTTGGAAAATTTTAAAAAATACTTTAAAAAACCCATAGGCCAAAGAAGAAATTATAGGTGAAATTAGAAAATATTTGAACTAAATGCAAATGGTAATACAACATATCAGCTAACTTATGAAGTGCAGCTAAAATAGCACCTGAGGGAAAGCTGTATAGGCTTATATCAGAAAGCAAGAAGGATCTCAAGTCAATAACCTAAGCTTTCATGTTGAGACACAGGAGGGGGATCACTGCTTCCAGGTTGCTGGATGACCTTGAGGTCTTAGGAGCAAGGTGGTCTTTCTCTGGGGTCTGCAAGCCCTCTGTGATGCCCACAGAGATGGAGCTCTGTTCCATTGAAACCCAGTGGTCTGATCTGCTCGTGTCTTGGCATTTCTCCGGGACCGACCAACCCCAGGATGGTGTGGAGCTAGCACATTCACCTGTCACCCAGCCACCATTCTGGTTCCAAGGCTGCATCTTTCCTCTGGACTGGTGATGGGGTTGTCCATGTTTGCTCCTGAGCCAGCTTCTAGCTGCTTATTTGAATCCTTGCTCTGTGACAGACGACTCCCCGAATGCAGTCCTCAGTCTCCGCAGTCACTGGGGCCTTGGACAATTTGTTACTAGTGCATGGGGATTCATTGCAGAAAGTAAAAGAACGGAAGAAGTTATATTATGCAACCACGAACTAAAAGCTGACATAGCTATACTAACATTAGGGGAGAAAGTTTCAAGACAGAAATTAATGCTGGGAATAACATCTGTTAATTCCTAAAGATGAGGGAAAATGTTGCCAAGAAGAAATACAATTAAAAATTTATATACTCCCATTAATGTGGCCTAAAAATAGTAAAATGGCTTTTTTTTAAAGAAGGGTAAAAATTAATAGAACTGCAAGGAGAAATAGAAAAATGCACAATGAGAGGTATTAAAACAACTTTCACATTAATAGAACAAAAAGACAAAAAAATTATAAAATATTTGAATAACAAGTTTGACATAATGGACATTTACAGAATACTATATGTAACAACTTCCAGTTACACATTCTTTTCAAGTACAAGTTGCACTGCTTAGAAAAACCACATCCTGGGCCATAAAGCCAGCTTCAACAAATTTCAGAGGGTTGAAATCTTCCAGAAAATATTTTCTGGCCACAATAAAATAGCTGAAAATCTATGATCCATAACTAGAGTATCCCCTAATGTTTGGAAATTAAATAACATTTTAAAAAGAACTCTTAGGTCAAAAAGGAAGTCATAATGGAAGTTAGAAAATATTTGGAATGGAATGATAATAAATGTATGAAATGTCAAAACTTGTGGGGTATAGCTAATGCTGTGCTTAGAGGGAAATCTATAGCCATAAAGTGCATAGAATTAAAAAAAAGGTTGAAAGTCAGTGATCTAAGTGTTCGTGTAAAGAAACTAGAGGAACCTTAGTTGAACAAACGAAGTAGTTGCTTTGATGCACTGAGGCAGTGTCTTTGTGTATCTTCTATGCGTATTTGAGGCTAGTCCCTTGGGGGAGCCCTCACAGAGAACAGTGTGGAAATCTCATTCCGAAAGGCAAACACCTCCTGACCCCTGTCTGCCCAGTCTCCACTTGCCATGAGTGGATGTTAATGCATCTGTGTAGGAGGGTGGAGAGTCTAAGACCCCTCTAGGACGTCTGCATGATGTGGGGTGGGCATATTAATATTTGGATATAAAATCATGGGAGTATGGCTTAGGAGCATATAAACTCAAGACAGTGAAGAAACAATGTGGAGTCATGAAATGCAGAGGGACCGCACAGCCTCTCATTGGGGGTGTATTGTGCTCCCCTGGGCTAAGAATGCTCAGAAGGGCATAAGCCAGTGATGATGACCATGCATAGGGAGTGGTGGCCAATACCTCTGTAGTGTCATCATTTGCTCCTCCTAACCATTAATCAGCATCCTTCAGAAAGCACATATGGGGCCTTCCTTGCCTGCCATTCCTTCTATATTTTGCAAGTATCTAGTTTTAGCCAGTTCTGCTCACCCAACTCCACTTTCTCCCCACTCCTAATACACACACTCGCACTCATCCCAAGTTCCTCTTGTTATAAATTACTAACTACACCATAACAATGGAATCAAAAAACAAGTTACAAGGAAGAACAATGAAAAATCCTATGTATTCCAAAGCCACCTCCAACCTCAGCACAAACTCGTAAGAGCACTCGTAAGTGCTCTCTCCCCAGTACTGTGCACACATTGTCAGTCTACCTCCTCTGTGGCTCTGGGGATTAGGAGAAGTCTCCTCTTCCTTCAGCCTCCTTTCCTCCACACCCCACTCCCCACACCTGAAAATATTGGTCAAAGAGGCCAGAGAGAACAGGCTTTAAAAGTGGAATACTGATTATGGGGTGGGGGTGGGAGTAGGGGTTACCACATTTGGCAAATAAACACAGAGGACCTTCACTTAAATTTGAACTTCAGAGTAACAACAAATAATTTTAGTTTAAGGGTGTCCCAATTCTTCTTTTTAAGAGAGAAAGAGTAAGTAGTGAGTGAGTGGTGGGAGAGGCAGAGGGAGATGGAGTGTGAACGAGAACTTTAAGCAGGCTCCATGCTGGGCATGGAGCCCCATGTGGGGCTTGATCCCATGACCTTAAGATCATGACCTGAGCTGAAATCAAGAGTTGGGTGCTCAACTGATTGAGTCACCCAGGCACCTGAAGTGTGTCCTGATTTTATACTAAAGTGTTATTTGTTGTTTCTCTGAAATTCCGATTTAACTCAGCATCTAGTTATTTTTTTCTGGGAACCCTAATTATAGGAGTGAAGGGGTCATAATCAGGGAGGAGTTGCAGTCAGGGGATTCTTCATCTCCTGGGACTAAAAGTTTACTTGGAAGCTGTGGAACAAGTGGTGTCTCCTGGACAACCAACTCCCTGGGGAACCGGGGGAGACCCACCCTTCTGGGTGCCCCTGGCCTTTCACAAGGTCCCAACCAGAGCACCCGTGGCGCAGCACCCCCTGGTGCCGCCTAAACCGGCTTCTTGGCCTTGTGAAGGCAGCCCATCCTTCCACCTGGCCCAGTCTGGTCTGAGAATGAGGGGGGATGGGTAGCATGGTCAAGGTAACACACAAACACAGGCATGATGTGCAAAAACACAGACATTTTGACTTTAATAAGTTATAAAATCAAGAAGCCAAATTTTTCTATACAGAAAACAAATGTGTCGATGGCTGTGATCAGTAAGATAAAATGCTGTGACTTGAGTTCAGCACCATGTCATGATTCCTGTGGTGGCTGCCTGGCATTTGGGGGGTAGAGTCTTCATGTTCATCTGAGAAAGAGTGCTACTGAGCACCATTTATAGACACCCAACAAACAAACAACCTTGAAATACAAACAAAAGGCTTACACGGGAAATTCCATGGGTTTTCCAAAAGGAGATCAGAGCCATGTTCCCAAGCCCCAGCAGGAGTCTCCCCACTAATGAAGCTTCCTGGAGCTGCAGATGGAGAGGACTTCTGATCTCAACACAGTGTTCCAGGACCTCAGCTAGAAAACCTCCCTGGCCTTCAGGCTTTATTGGCCCCCAGACTCAGGACTGTTGCTAGGCTGGCTGTCCCACTGTCCCGAGCTCAGTGGGGATTAGAAGTCTCTCAGAGTCTAATAAACCCTGTATTCCTTAGAGAAACCTTGGCAGATCGTCTGGTTCTTGAGAACTCTGTGGGAACATGGCCCCAGGCAGTGAGTATCACCTATGGGATGGTGTCCATCTCTCTCCTTCCAGAAGAAGACAGGTAACCCTGGGTATGTCCCACCTGGGGCCTCTCCCTGAAGCCTTCCAGCCCCAAGACATGGAGCCCTGCTCTGCTTGGATCTGGGAATGGAGCGTTCCCATCCTGAGGTCCCCAGGCTGCGTAAACTGAGTAATACTCTCTGGTCAGTCACCCTGAGCTTCCTCTGCATCCCAGGACAGACCCAAGCAAGAACTGCCCTAGTCCTTCAGCCTGTGAATAGCACCAGCTGCCATGGGTTCAACCAATGAGGGAAAGCCAAGGCATCCATTTCCTGATTATAGAGAGACAGGACTGCAAAAGTGCTGTATACCACATCTGTTAAAGAAGTGATACTATGAGAGAGAGCCAAAAATGTTTTCTCCAGTTTGCTTCTTAGGAACCAGCAAGGCCCTCTGAGACACCAGGACAGGTGTGAGTATGTGTGGGACATGGTGGTAGAGGGGAGGGAGGCCGCTGGGCCAGGCAGAGGTGAGGGGAAGCTGGTTATCACCCAGTGGGGAGGTTCAGCATCATCCCATCATCCCAGATAGCATTCTCACTGGTTCCTACACCCTCACTTTGTCCCTTAGATCACATACAGACACACACCCACATGCATGCACGGAGCAGACAAACATACTTAGCACCTCAGACTCCGTATAAAGTAGCCATCATGCTATCACCCTGAACCTCAGTGTTCCCATCCATATGATGGGGAATCACACAGGAAAGAGTTCTCTAGCATCTGGACTGCTGAGAATACAAAGACTCTAGAACTTTCCTAGACATGGAAAGCTTAAGAATTACATGTGAGGCTAGGCCCAGCTAAGCAGCTACAGTGTCCCTGGGTTTTGTAATTTGGGCAAGTTGAAGCTACATGTTCACAAAATATCAATGTAGGGAGAGGTGAAAATTAGGCACCATCCTCCCATCCACCCCCACTCCATTTCTCTCTCATTCACATCTTGCTAACAAAGCACCATTCTGCTGAAAACAGAAGTTGTAAAAGTTTAGAACAGCCAAAGATAAAGCAGAGTCTCCCCACTTCCCACCTGGGCTTCCCATCGGAGGCCAGATATTCCAGTTCCCTGCTAGCACTTCCAAGGCATGGAAGGGGGCTCCACAGGGCTGGACAGGACAGGGCCACACCCACAAGCAAAGCTGGTCTTTAGGAGGCAACCTGAGCCTGCAGAGCCCCATCTCAGAACCCAGAGCCCAGTCACCCTGGTGGCAGCACCCCCTTGCACCGTTCTGGGAGAGTCACCGGCCTTGACCACTCACTGGACTTTGCAGCAGAGTCCATGCCCCCATCATTCTTCCAGTGCACTTGGGGAGGGAGAGCCTCCCTGGGGAGCCCTGGGGCCAACGGAGACATGAGAGAGGCCTGAGGGAGCCCAGGAGTGCACCCTGCTGTCTTCTCCTCATGTAGGAAATGTGGCCCACCATTTAGATCTATCAAGTCTCAGTACCTTCCCAGGAAGGAGTGGACAGCTTCAGTCTGGGCTGAGTCAACATGGGGCATGAGCATCAAATGGGCCAGGTGGCTTTCCTGAAGTCCTACTCCCAAGAGACTGCATCTGGCCAGGCCTGGAGACCACAGGCTGCAGCCTGGTGGCTCTAGAACCCAACAGACCTTCCAGACACCCTGTATTTTGAGTTGAAGTTTGAGGATTGAGGATTTTTGCACACAGAGCTAGACTTCTACTGAAAGCACACTATCTGGCAGTGGGGGCCAGCTCTCCCAGAGGCAGCAGCAGCTGGAGCCAGCAAGCAGCTCTAGTGGGGGACCACACATCCTCACCACCTGCCTGGCCCTTGGAGTCACTGGCATTCATGTTCACCACCTGCACTTCATTGTGCTCATCTTAGTGATGGGCTGATTGGTAAATAAATCACTGTTTCTCCTAGGAGTCCGCATGGGGCTTGGGGCTTGGCTGGGGATTGGTAGGAAATGGCCCGCAGCTCCAGAAGGACTATCACCACCAAGGAAAAGAAGATGGCCAATCACTGCTCAGGAGCTCAGGGCATGTGTCTCCTCTCTCTGGGTTAGCCTCCTGCCCTCCCTCATTCACGGCACTCAAAGAACCTCTCTATTGCTCTCTACCCCAACACCCGGTCCCAGCAAGGGACATGGAACATTCCAGAGCTGGCCAACAAACAGATGTGCTAACCTGCTGCCACATGCTCACAACCATATGCATAGATGTTTATGTCATTCTCCCGTTTTCTCAAAACCTTTTGGAATCAGAAATTTTTCCTTCATCTCCATGATTTGCCATCCCATGGAATATATCTATAAGCAAGGGGGGGAAATGCTATTGATGCTATCTTTCCATTTTATTAGAACTTCCCGAGCATCTCTTTCTTCCTCATCTCATCAATGAGCTCTTGGATCCTCTGGTTTCTGGTCTTTTCATATGGGCTCGGTCGTCGAGGGATCAGGTTGGGTGGCTGGACATCCTCGTCCAGGCCGCTGATTTTGTAGGGCACGTCGACGGCGTTGGTATCTGGGTGATCCTCGGTGCTGTTGGTGTGGGAGGCATTGAGGGGCACCCGTGGGGGCGTGCCTGGCACAGGTTGCACCTCCATGACTAGAGTGGGCACTGGGAGGGTGGGCATGAGCTCTTCAATGTCGTTGAGCTTCCCGGGGGGCAGCTCCACTCCGTCGTCTGCATCAGTGAGGTTGTCGTGCAGGTTACAAGACTTGCAGCACAGCCTGTGGTAGCCTGGGATGGAGCAATAGCGAGACAAGACTTCCATCCTACAGAACATTGACTTGTCGCCTTGGCAGCGGCCCTCTGAAAAAGAAAAGTGGGACAAATAACCAAAGGACAGGGTAAGGGGGACCTGGTGCCCCCCAGAGGAAGCAGGAGGAGGCGTGTGGAAGAGCCCAGAGACGGCACAGCGGCAAGCGAGCTCACACAGAAAGTCCGTGTGGTTCTGATGTCAGCAGGACCCGGGGCACAGAGCTGCCTCACAAGCAGTGTGCAGTGTTCCCTGCCTCCAGGCAGGCCCCCAGGGCTTTCTCAAAGTCTGAGACGAAATCGAGGTGTGTCTGTTCTTAGGGAGTGATTCCAGCTCGTCTTAAAGCACAGGACTCCATCAGATCCCTGTTTGACACCCAAGTGGTAACCCCAGTGAAATTCTGTGGCAGAGTTTGGCCCTACAATAATCTATAAGCAGCAACTATAACCAAACCGAACCTGAAGGAACCAGTGTCTACAACCTGAAAGAACGAATCCCGAAGCCGTGGTCGTGGCCTCACCACGTTCCTCCATGGTGCATTCCCATCCTCACCTGGACGCGTCTCGCTTCCACCTGCCTCCACTTACCCGACAGCCTCGTGTCCTGCCATGGCTGCACCTGCGCCCAACCCTCCACGCTGCGCTCCTGGCCAGCCCCCAAACGGCTCCGTGGTCTGGTGCCTGCACACAGGCCTCCCCTCTCCTTCCCGCCGGCGGGCTAGCCTGCATCGCTCCCCGGAGACCCGGCAGCCCTGCGCGCACAGCTCTCTTCCTCGGGCCCGGCTCCAGCTCTGGCCGCCGCTGTAGCAAAGTGGACCCCTGAAAATTCACATAGGGCTGCTGATGCCCCCAAACTTAACTAATAGCCTAGGCTGCCGGGAAGCCTGACCGATCGCCTACGCCACTGGTTAACGCAGATCCTGTACGGTACGCGTATTACCTCCTGCATTCTTGCCATACAGAAGCCGGACAAGAGAAAAACGTTATAGGGAACCGTAAGGGAGCGCTGTGCCGTGTTCATGGAGAGAACCCCACGTGTAGGCAGGATGGGGCAGTGGCTCAGGGTCATGGCAGTCCCACCCACACAGCCCCCTCTTGCTCTTGCTCTGACTCTCCTCGCTGTCTTCCTCCCATGTCTTCCTCCCTTCCCTGGCCCCCACCACCTCATTCGACAACACAACACAAAAACTGAGATGAGTTATAAGAATTCACTCAACAGGTCATGTGACAGCAGAACAGGGATGTGGGGTCCCTCATAAATCCCCCTCCCCAGCTTCCCTACGGCGTCTCTGCTCAGCCACCCTCTGCCCTCCCCAGCGAGCATCTCCAACCTTCCCTGCACAACTGCTGCCGCGTGCTCCTTTCCCTACCCGTGACCCCATCTCCTACTGAGAGGAAGGAAGGATTCAGGTGGGAAGGGAAGGGAAGGGCAGCCAGGGGTTGAAACCACGTGAGATGCAGTCACTCTGTGCAACACAAGGTGCTGTCTCCACAGAAACTTCCCGCAGGAGCAGATGAGAGCAGGTGCCCTCCCCTCCAGGAGGTTCTGACAGCACCTGCTGCCTGCCCGCTGCTCCAGGCTGTCACCTCCCCTTCCAGGCTGTTGACCTGCTTGGTTGGATACTGACCCCAAACTTCCAGAGCCTCGGGCTCTAGGATACAATGGCCTGCTCAGACAGGCCACTGTGCCCGGTGGTCCCCAGCGTGCCTGAGACTCCACACATCCCATGCAAGCCCAGGGCCTCTGTTGGCGCCACCTATCTCACAGAATGGCCTCTGCAGAGCACAAGCCAAACCGCAGGCACCACCCCGCCCTTCTGTCCATTCACCTCAAGTCCTAGATGCTCCCTGGTATGTCCATGATCCCCTCTCTCTCCCATCTCCATGGGGTTAAGCTCTGCACCGTGATAAGAGCCTCCTTTCTGCTTCCTCAATTCCTTCTCCTTCTTGTCCACTACCCTGCTTTAGTCAGAATGCTATTTTTCAATTGAAGATGTCCTGACTGAAGCCCTGCATTGCCCCTTGTTGTTTGCAGGGTGAGGATCTGGCCCCTTCACATCTCCATCTTCACTCAGGCCTTGGACCCCCTACTTTATACTGTGTTCCCTCTGGCCACGGGGCCTTTGCATATACTATACCCACTCCCTCTCTCTTCCTTCAGTTGCTCTCCTCCTTGAGGCTCAGCTGAAACACATCTTCGGGCAATAATTGCCCACCTACCCTTGGGAGGTCCTCCTATTCCCAGCACTCTATCCCAGTTGGCAAGTTCACACTGTAATTATTAGATAAGGTGTCTATTGCCTGACTGTTTTCTGGCAAGTTCCAAAGGGCAGTATATAGCCTTAAGCTATATTTGGGCACCCCTCAATCCCCAGAGACGAGAACAGTGAATTGGAGAATGCAAATGCATAAATATATAAATATGAAAAAGACACATGTGAATAACTGAGGAAGTTCAAAACAGGGAAATTATGGAGTTTAAAATAGGAACATGACAAGTGAGGACACTCAGAGGCACATACCACCAGAGGTGGACCTAGCTTTGGCTCTGAGCTTCTAAGTGGCCCAAATAAGGAAACATGCCTGAATGCATGAGGTACAGCGTGAAGCGATAAATCAGCTCAGCTATGCAGGAAAAGCTCTGGCCTTCCTAGCCTAGAGACCGAGAAATAGGCTCAAGATGTGGAGGGGAAAATGTGTGTGGCCGTGTGCTAAAGGCCGATTCTGGAAATCAAACAGAAAGATCCTGAGGTGGGGCTTTCAGGGTCTAAAAACTTGTAGAATGTTGTCTCAGAAAAAATCTTCGAGATGCCCAGTATATGATACAGAAGACCCTGGAGTGGTCCTGTCTGAAGCGTGGAGTGCTCAGAGCCCCACCTGCTCCCTTCCGCACTCCCTGGCCCTCCTCCCCTTTCTGGCAGCCTCCAGGTGACTGTGTGAAAACCACTGATCACACCCCTCCAGAGACCCAAGGGCACTTGTGATGACACAAGAAGCAGTGTCTCCCTGCAGGCTTTGACCATTGGGATGGGATGGGGTGGAGGCACGGGCCTCGACAGGACAAGGATGGAGCCTTGCTGGGAGTGGGGTCACCCCTGCTACAGACCAGTGCCCCTCCTGTCCCCTGTGCCTTCTCCTTCATGCAGATAACAGGATCTCTGCGAAACCTCTCCCTGGGGTCGGCCTGCTGTGCCATGTGGGCCAAGTCTGTGCCTCCACCTGGTTTTGTAAAGAAGGTTTGACTGTTACTACCTGGCCCTTTAAGGAAAGTTTGCAGACCGGTGGTCAGGTGCTTGGTGCTGTCCCAGTGCCATGATCAGAGCCTGACACAGAAAGCACTGGACAGATGTCCCTGAACACATGGGCAAGTCAGGAATAAGAGTCCATCTCCCTGCTACAGGCAGGTGACAGCCGGGGGCCAGGCCCTGCGTCCTTTGATCAGTGGCTACATCGCTTTAGGTTTTTAAAAACGAGAATGAATGAACGAATAATTAAGAAAGCCACGGGCCAAGAGCTTGGGTATGCTAACACCAGCCTAGACAAATTTCAAAGTCATCATTCCCAACCACTCTTCAAGACACCAACAATTGGGTATGTTTAAGTTTTTTTGCTGAGTAGAGCCTTCCGAGATGAAGGGAGTTGTACCACCAAGGGCCCCTGATGTGTCCAGAGGCGCCGACTGGTAGAGGATCCCTACACCAAGAGAAAAATTCAGTTTCATAATACGTGACCTTTAGCCACTTCCAGTAGCAATGAACTAGTGAGATCTGCCTTCCGGCAAACAAATCACTGAGAGCAAACCCATTCTCACAAATTGAAGCCATTCGCGGACCGTTCCCACAATCTTGGCTCCAGCCAAATATCAGCCGTGTTCTAACTTTGCCCACTAGTTTCCTCCTTTAAATGAACTCCTTTTTTTAAACTTAAAATTTATTTCAGGGATCCCTGGGTGGCGCAGCGGTTTGGCACCTGCCTTTGGCCCAGGGCGCGATCCTGGAGACCCGGGATCGAATCCCACGTCGGGCTCCCGGTGCATGGAGCCTGCTTCTCCCTCTGCCTATGTCTCTGCCTCTCTCTCTCTCTCTCTCTCTCTCTCTCTCTCTCTCTCTGTGACTATCATAAATAAATAAAAATTTAAAAAAAAATTTAAAAAAATTTATTTCAGAAAAATACTTTACACTACCACCATTCACGGGAAAGTAACGGCAGGCAATAAAGGTGACCCTAACAGAACACAGACAGGTTTTAAGTTGAAGGAAGTTTCATCCCTCGAATGCCAGGGAGACACTCCTGCCTGCACGGCTCCGAGCTGCAGAGAAGCAAGCAAGCAAGTGAGCTTGGGGGAGACCTGGCCCCTTGCCCAGGGAGGCTTCCTCTCGGGGTGCCATGAGGGGTAAAGGGACTAGGGAGGGCTGCTCCTAGGAGCTCAGACCATGTTTATGCACCACCTGAAACCTCCCTGTCTCCCATGCTTCAGGAAACACTGGGATGGAGGAAACTGGGTTCTTTTTTCCCTCAGTCGAGCCTCCTGAAGCATTTGACCCTCCAAAGGTCGTGCCACAGCATAAAGAAGCACAGGACCCCTGTCAGCCCATGCCCTGGTACCCAGTGCCCGGTACCCAGCTGGCCCCAGGTGTTGAGAGCCTGCCTGCAGCTCTGGCCTGGGAGCCCCCTCAGCGGGGATTCCTTCTGGTCCTTCTGGGCAGCGACACTGCGTGGATGCAGCCCTGTCAGGGGATGTTGTTTGGGTCTCCTGTATCCCTTGAGCCGGGATTCCTCTCTGGGACCAGAGCTCGGGACAGGGTGAGCTCAGCCATGCTACCATGACCCTCCCTTGTAGGCTGGCACCTGGGGCCTGGCCCTGTGCCCCAAAGCCCATCTCCATGATGCCAGGTGGCCCCATTTCATCCTTTCTCACGGTCTCCCTCCTCCTTGGCATGGGATCCCCTTTATAGGAATGGGAGGAGAAAAGCTCAGCAGCAAGAAGGGCCCTGTTGGGCCCTGACTCCCTCTCTGGTCCTGACTTGCTGTCAGCCAGGTGAGCAAACACACCAGGCCCCCGTGGCTTCTGAGGTGAGGCCTCAGGAGACATGGGCAGGCACTGCTGAGCACATGCTCACATGAATGCACACACCAGGTCCCCAGAGCCACTGCCGCTTGACCTTCTCCTGACCAGAATCCCCTCCCCAACCTGGACCAGACAGGCACCTCCCCTCCCTGGATAGGTAGCCTAAGGCTGAGAGCAGTGCCAGCAGCCAGGGCAGTGGCCCGATGGTGGCTCAGGGCACAGTGACCAGGACCAGCACTGTCTGTGCTACTGACCCGACATTCCCACTCCACTCATCCCAGAGAGAGGGAGAAGCCCACTCTGGGTCCTGTTCCTTATGGTAAAATCTCCACGTGTGAGGAGAGAACCCAGATGGTCCCACAAGAGGCTTGTTTAGCACAAACAATTCCAAAGTCAAAATCAGGATGAAGTGTCTTCATGGGCTGCTGTCAGATTTTGAAAAATGCCTGGGGAAGGGGAATGTCCCCCAGTGGGGGAGGGGCCTACATATCTACATTGGGCAGCGGGGTGTGGGGAGGTGGTGGGCAGTAGTCACATTTGCAGCAGAAACCCAGTCACTAAGGAGACAGAAGGGACCGGCAGCTGGGCAGCGCCGCCAGCCGCGCAGGTGAAGAGAAGGAGCCAGCAGCATGCCAAACCCGAGCACCCAGTTTCACGGAACTTTTATTGACTTTATTTGTGGGATGCATGACAGGAAGTCTTTCCATTGTTAGTAAGGAGAAAAGGTCATTTCCACAGTCACTTTGGCACACACTAAAGTTGTCTCATAAAAACACTGGAAAAGCGACAACAATGGGAACCTATGTATTACGTCATCAGATGCGTACAAAACGCTAATAAAATATCCCTGATAAACCAAAGTGCATACAGACAGAGAGCACGATGCCCAGGACCGTACCGCACCTTCCCAGAGGCAGAGTCACTTGCGTGGCCTAATCAAAGTTGGAAGTTAACAGTCGTGAGAATTAGTACGGGTGACACATCAAGTATTTACATAACAGTAGTCAGAGCCAGGGAGGAGGTGGCGCGCAGCAAGGTGCTGTTAGCAGGTGGCACGGTGGAGTGGGGCTGCAACAGGGGACACGGGGCACACAGGCCCAGCGTGCTGCCCTCTGTGTAAGGCAGCACCGTTGGTGGGGGCGGGCGGGGAGCGCCCGGGAGGGGGCTCAGCAAACAGTCAGTGCCCACGGGCTGCGGGGCCTCAGAGGGGGTATCCTGTCTGCAGAGCAGAGTGGGCTGGAGCCAGCATGCCCGGGGCTCCCCGCTGCGAGAAGCCTTGGATGAGCCCGATGGCCTCCCCCCACCACCTACCCTGGGCGGTGCTGCCCCGCCTCCCACCTGGATCACACCCGCTCTGAAGCTGGACTTTAGCAGCCGATTCTGTTACCTTTCAACTTTAAGGCATTTTCTACAGTTTTATCTAAGCAAAAAAGCAATAAAAATTGAGGTAATTCTGTAGTTGTTCACACTGGTAGGTGGCCACATCCACTCAGTCTCTCTCTCTCTCAATCTCTCTCTCTCTCTTTCACTCTCTCACCTCTATGGATGGGGTCATGTGCGCACAATGAGAAAAGGCCATTGGAGCTAATGGACAAGAGAGTGGAGGTGGTGCTGTGTCCCAATGTCCCACTGGAGGGACACATCCTCTGCTGCCTCCATCTGACCCGAGCTCCCAAGGGGACGCGGCACGGAGGGTGGGAGTGGGGGCCAAGGGCTGTGGAACTTGGATGCAAAGGCCAAGGGAAGCAGGCCACAGTCACACAAGTCAGGAAGACGCACTCAGCACAGAGTCAGCAGCAGGAGCAACAGCAGGGGCGGTTGGGGAACCCCTGATGCCCGCCCCCCAGAATCTGCATGCCCCAGACCCCCTCTGGCCTCGCCTCACTACCGGGCAGCAGGCAGCGTTTGAAAGGGGATGGGCGGGTTCCCCCTTGACTTCTGACCTGAAGCTCCAGCTTGGAGGGATGTGGCCCCAAGAAGTGGTCACATCTGCACTCTGGCCTCTGACCCCTCCAGCACCAAGACAGATCTTTGCCCCTTTACACGCCATCACCAACCAGGTCCCGGCCCCCCATGAGAGGCTGGTGCCCCGGGGCCATGCCTCCGCGAGGTGGGCCCTCCCAGCCCAGCGGCGGGTAGGAGCCAAAGGAGACAGCCGAGCACAGCGGCCCAGGAGAAATCAGATTCAACCGAGAGAGTGCTCAGGAAGAGTCAGGGAAGTTTTCCACAGAAAGAGAGGAGGGAAGCCCATGGCAAGCTCCACAGAGCGCAGGGCATGCACTGGAGGGCAGAGGCAGAGTTATAAACGGGCCGGTTACTTGACGAGGTCTTCTGGACTGGCAAGTCGGGGTCCGGTCGGGACAGCCACTGAACCACGTAGCTCTTCTTGGAAGGATCAGAGATGTTTCCTAGAGGGGAGAGGTGGGGCTGTGGCTGCTGAGGCCCCACTCTGGGGCCACCACCTCCAGCATCCCAGGGCAACAGGAGGGCTCTGACTCCCCAGCGTGGCATTCGAGGACCCTTGGGACAGACAGGCCCCAGCGGCCCAGTACAGGGCCACCTCCTGCCCTCCCCCACTGCCATGCCTCCTGGGTCCTGGCTACTAACTAGTCAGTATGAGGCCCTGCCACGCCTCCTCATCTTTGCACTATTCCCAGCACTCCCCACTCCCTGCTCCCCAGGAACATGGGGAGCAAGTACATCTTGGATCTATCCCCCTGCCTGGCTGGGTGGGCACATCTGACCTCCCTGAACAACATCCTCCACAGTAGATGGAACTCAGGGTGGGGTCTACAATGCAGAGTATCCCAGAATCCTAGAGTGGGATTTCCTGGGACCCAGAGTGAAGCACGTCTGACCCTTGGCAAGGTGTCTGCATGCAGACGGTGTTCTAGCTGTACTCTTCAGAGGGCACGAGGCCCTCCCTGCTCGCATGGGCACCCCTATACATACAGGCACCCCCTGCCTCCATGGGCACCCCTATACATAAGGCACCCCTTGCCTCCGTGGGCACCCCTATACATAAGGCACCCCCTACCTCCATGGGCACCCCTATACATACAGGCACCCTCTGCTTCCATGGGCACCCCTATCATACAGGCACCTTTTGCTTCCATGTGCACCCCTAATACATACAGGCACCCCTTGCTTGCATGGGCACCCCCAACTCACAAGGCACCCCCTGCTTCCTTGGGCACCCCCATTCACAAGGAACCCCCTACTTGCATGGGCCTGGGCACCCCATCTGGCTGAGCACCACCGTGTGGTCACTATGAACCTGCTTCTGTCTCCCAGATCCACGGTGAGCAGTCTGGAAGGCAGTCATGGCTGAGTTCCTTCTATTATTGACTAGAAAAGGTCCCAACCCTTGGCTTCTCTTTCCAGTTCACAGATGCTAGGTCTGGCCAGTTGTGGGGAGAGCTGCCTTTGCCCAACCCAACCCCCCTCGCCCTGCGCTCACTGTACACTGGGAGTGGGGGTAGCAGATGGCTTACGGGGACAGGGGCCCGGCCTGCAGATCCTGGCTGTCTCAGGCCGCTCCTCCCGGCAGATCCCGAAGCTGTCATCCGCCGTTCGGCAGAGCACTGGCCGCTCCTGGGTGCCATTGCCACAGGTCACCGAGCACTACAGGTGGAGAGTCACCAGTCAGGGCCCGCCTCCCGTGGTCAGCTGGGACTGAAAGAGCTCCCCACACATGTGACCCTATAATACGTGGAAGGCGGTGAGGGGCAGAGGGAAGTGTACGTGTTAGAGGCCTGTCCTGCCTTGCCCAGCCTCAAGTGGCCACCTCGATCTCCTGAGGCTCTAAAGAGGGATGCACATGTCTATCTCTTTGAGTTCCTATGACTTAGAGCAAATGTATAGGGCCTGACATTTCCAGGTTCTCAGTGGGCATCTCCCTTCTCTGGCCGAAGGAAGCCCACCTGGGGCCCAGGAAAACCTGCTGTGCCCTGGGGGCCACTGGGAAAGCTCTGACTGAGTCCAGGAGGTCTTGGCAGAGGACCCCTGGACACAAGGCCTCATTTGCCCCTTCAACCTGGTGCCCTCTCTGCCTCACGGCATGGGGACAGGCCCAGAGCTGTCACACCCACACTCCTGGCTTGGCTCATGGCTCAGCACAGCCCCGCCAGGAGAATATCCAAGTCCTCACCTTATATATCGCAGAAAAGGATTACCTCAGCAGACCTGGGCTGCTCAAACCCCACATAGTCCCAAGGAAGGCCTGCTTTCAGGACCAGTGTGGGGGAAGCTCCTGGGGATCAAGCTCATGGAATGTTCTGTTGGGGAGAGTGTGTCTGCACACCTGAGGCCTCGAGTCACCCTGCACCAGCCTGTCCAGGCAGCTTATACCAACAGTGTGATTGACGGTGAGTACCTGCTTCAGTCACTAGTGTCCAGCACACACGGAAGACCCTGGACCCCCGGCTCACATGGGCTTCTCGGGTTGGCAGTATTTCGTGTATGTCCTCTCACACTGTTGCTGAATCAAGTGTATTCCTGGGAACCCACCGGGAGGGGAAGCTTGTGCCTGGCTTCCTCTGGGCTTTACCATGCACTTTCCCCCTTTGCTGATTCTACTCTGTGCTTTCATTGAAATACACTGTAATTGTGAGTACAAGGACTTCCAGGGAATCAATGAGCCTGAGGCTGGCCTTGGGGACCTCAACCCCAAGCTATCCAGTCAGTGATCATGTCACCTCAGCCCTGCCCCCTGGACTGTTCCTCCAGCCCTCACTATTCTTCCCAGGCCAAGTACAAGCCTTCCGTTGCTTGTATTCCCTCCTGTCAGCCTAGCTGGCCTTCCAGACCACCCCTCTGCCCTCAGGGATGACAGCCCAGGCTGCCTTCGATTTCCTAGGACTCCAGGCTTCTGTAGCAAACGGCAGCCTCTGCCCTGCAGAATAAAGACAGGTTCCATTTGGTTTCTCAAGGGAATACTGACTGTGGCCTGACCCACAGGACGTGGCCTGGGCTAGGAACTGCATCCAGACCAAGGTGGAATGCCCTGACCACCTTGGTCCCACACCAGCTTGGTTTAGAGGCTGAGGGCATGAGGCTAGGGAGTCAGGGGGCCCACTTACCTGGGACCAGGATCCAGCCCGCCACCGACCAGGGCAGAGCTCACGATTGCAGGCCCGGCGGCCCTCGGGCCGGGCGTCATTGCAGTGCTTGGTGTGCACGGAGCGGGTGGTATTGTTGTGCAGTGGCTGCACGCAGCGCACAGAGCGAGCCTGCGTGCCTGTCCGCCCACAGCTCTGACTGCAAGGCTCCCATTCACCTGTGACCCACCTGTGGGGGCAGAGTGACAGGTCAGTCACTCTGGAGAGCCAGCCTGGCTGTGGCCCAGGCATACAGTGAGAAAGCAGCCTGCTTCTCCAGGACCTCTTTCCCTAGTGTCATGAAGACATCCTAGTGCCTGGCTTTGCCTCTGTCCAAGGTCTGCAGGTGACAGTTCCACTTCTTGGAGACCCTGGGGGATGGGGGAGGGACATGGAGAGCCCAGGATGTCTGTCCCCTCTCAGGCTTGTGGCTCTGCCTCTAGCCCTCAGCTGCTACTGCTGTCACAAAACTTTCAAGGCAGCAGTGTGGACTGCCTCGGTGCCCATCCTCATTCAGACCCCATGTGCTTACTTACACCTCAGGGCCCTGGGCCCTGAAATGAAGCCCTGCCAAACCTCCTGGGCTGGAGGGGTCAAGGCTGTGGCTGTCACTACAAGTGGCCTGGGAAACACTGACCATGGGGCCAGAAACAGGCTCAGTACCCTCTGAGCCCCAGCGTTCCCATCTGGGCGTTACCACGTGCCATCATTTCTGAGATGCATGTGGCTGTTTCAATACACCACACAGCCTGTAGGATCTTAGACTCCATGAAATGTGGGGAGGGACAAAGAACCCGCCCAACATCTCAGGGGCCATGAGGCCCGGAGCCGCTCTGGGCCTAGATCTGCAACTCCCTCCACAGGAGCCCCAGGGGTCTGCCTTTCCCCGTCTTGTGGGACCCTGGGCTGGGGCAGCCCCAGGCACTCACACAGGCTGGGAGCACTCCTGTGGGTTGCAAGCCCGGCGGATGGCTTTGGGCTTGGTGAGGGCGTCGCAGAAGCCTCGATGCACCATCTTGTGGTCCAGCCTCCGGCGGCAACCATACTTGGTGAACTGGGAGCCTGAAGACGAGAGCTCGAGGGGGCTCATGGGGCACTGCGGTCCCTCTGGGGGCAGAGGGCCTGGAGAGGTGGCTCCACGGGCAGCTTCAGCCCCTGGCTCCCCATCCTTCCAAAGGGATGGCCGGGGCGGGGGGGGGGGCAGTGTGCCAGGGCCAGGCCTTGGAGATGTCCAGCCCAGCACCCACCCAGCACTCCAGGCCCAGCTAGGTGGGAGGCCAAGGAGAGTGGCCACCTTGTTCCCTGGCCCCTCAGCTGGCTTCTTGGGTCAGGGAAGAGTGGCTTCCATCACTCAGTGATGTGCTCTACCTTGAATTAGCCTGCCCCAAGGCCCTGGAATGAGCCAGGAGGTGGCTTAGCACAAAAACATGGCCTGCAAGGCTCCTCCCACCACAGGCTGTCCTTAGTTGGGGGTGATTTTGACATCCGGCAATATGTGGGATGTTTAGTTGTCATGACTCGGGTTGGGGCAGGGGGTGCTACTTGCATGTAGCAGATAGAGGCCAGGGATGTTGCTCAATATCCTTCCATGCATGGGACAGTCCCCATGAGAATTAGAGAGAGAATTAAGGAGTCCAGTATATGAACAACCCCAATGTCTCAAAACCCCAGGCTTGGGATGCCTGGGTGGCTCAGTGGTTGAGCATCTGCCTTTGGCTCAGGGCATGATCCTGGGGTCCTGGGTTCGAGTCCCACATTGGGCACCCTGCATGGAGTCTGCTTCTGCCTCTGCCTGTGTCTCTGGCTCTCTCTCTCTCATGAATGAATAAAATGTTTTTTAAAAAATCCAAACCCCAGGCCAGTGAGCAAGACATGAGAGAATGTGGCTGGATAGCCTGGTCTAATCTGGGAATCTACAGATGTCCTAGGAAGCAGAGAATGGAGGGATGCTGGTTTAGTGGGAAAGCAGTAGAGTGGCTCCCAAGGAGGAGACAGCCTGTGCAAAGGCCCTGGGGACGTCTGGAAAAGCACCTAATGCCAGTGTGGCCAGGGCCTGGTGGGCAAGGGGTGGGGGCAGCAGTGCAGTGGGAGAAGTTAGCAAGCTGCCTAGGCCACAGAGGCCAGGAGGAGACTCTTGTTTTTATCACAGGAGTAGAGGGAGCTGCTAAAACTATGACACCAGGAAAAGATGCCAGGAAGAGACCTTTAAGGGGTCACTCTGGAGGTGACAATGGACACAAAACCTCCCCAGCTGGGGAGCTAGGCTGGTGCCAGGACTGGGAAGACAGAACAGCAGATAGGTCCAAGAGATACACAGAAGGGACAGTCAGTTAGACATGCTGCTGAAATCCAGAGGGCCAGGGAGGCTCAAGGGAAGGCTGGGGGTGCCATCTGCCCAGGTAGGAGCGCTGCAGAAGAAGTTGTCCACCTGCCTAGGTCATGGGATGGGTCTCCTCCACTGAGAGGAGCTCCTTAGCAAGCTCCTCTCTGTCTCCTAGGTGTGGGGGCCCCCATGGCATCTGAGGGAGGTCTGTCCTGCCTCTTATCTCCTCCAGCCCCCCAGGAGTAGTGACCATGTGGGGCGGACCAGAGCCTGTCTGTCTGTATGTCCCACCCAACTGTAGACTCTGTGAGGTCCAGGGCAGGTGGGATACCTCTGCACAAAGCACGGCCTCAGGAGGGTTGGGGAAGCCTTTCTAAATGAGCATGGGAGGGACCTCCACAGACGGGGCCCGAGCACGGCCCGAGTCTCCCCATGCCTGCCTCAGGAGGCTGTGGAAATGCACCCAAGCCATCCTCACACCAGCCCTCTGCCAGGCCAGCCCCTCCCTCCTGCTCTGACGCAGGTCCATGCTGTACATGCAAGCCCCACCTGCCCTTCTGGCAGCCTCTGGCCTGCTGCCCTGAGCACCCCTTTCCTGCCCACCCTCTGTCCCCCACCAGTGGGTCACTGACTCGGCCTCCTGCCCATGGGGCCAGTCTGCTCACACCTGGCACATCCCACAGGCCAGGCAGTCAGCAGGGCACCATGGGCTCAGGAATCCCTTTGCTCAGAAGACTCCTCTAGCTCAGCCCCGACCACCTCTGGGGCCCCAACCGTAAGAAGACCTCTCACCTCCACCGCAGGGCTTGGAGCAGGGAGTCCACTTCTTCAGGGCCCACTCATAGGCTACAGAGTCGTCTTCCAGGACATTGTTGCCGTCCACGTTGAGCGAGTCCTCGTGGATCATATACTTGTATGTCAGCGAGATCCGGGCATCTCCCTGTGGGATGACCTGTGCCCGGAGACGGCTGTGAAGGTGTCTGCCCCACCCTCCATCCTTCCTTAGCAGTCGGTTTAGAAATATACCCCGGGAGGTGCCTGGGTGGCTCAGGGGTTGAGTGTCTGCCTTTGGCTCAGGTCGTGATCCTGGGGTCCTGGGATCAAGTCCAGGATCAAGTCCTGCATTGGGCTCCTCGTGGGGAGCCTGCTTCTCCCTCTGCCTCTGTCTCTGTCCCTCTCTCTCTGTGTCTCTCATGAATAAATAAATAAAATCTTTTTTAAAAAAGGAAACATACCCGGGGCACACATACTGCTAGCTCTCTTTCTTTGCCATAGTTATGTTCTAGAAAGGGCCTGAAAAATCTGGATTCACCAGTACGGCACCATGGCTCTCAGGGAATGTGGGGCGAGGGTCCTGTGAGCCTCTAGTCAGAATACTTTCATCAACTGTCAATACATAATCTTATTTTACATGTGTTTCTGTTTCGAGCCCCGTTGTTCATACTGCTGAGTCGTTAACACTGACCCCTCCGGCCCGCGTGCTCTAACTCTGGCCTGCATGAAGCTCATCTAGTGTGTGTACTTCTCTGCCCAGCACAACATACGACCTCTTGTGCTCAGGAACACCCAACAGCACCCAGCACTCCACTTGGGGTCATTCCAAACAGCAAACCCATCCCCCCAAACGGCATAAAAATGTGAAAAGTGTGGCCCCTCACGTACTGGGAGAAGGACCCTCGTTTACGGCACGGGACTAGAACAGAAGCAGAGTGTTCCAACCCGGGGGGGGGGGGGGACATGCCCATCGGATGAATCAAATCTCTCACTGCTCTGCAGTGTCTGTGAATGGCCGTGGAAACACCGCCAGTTCTGACCAGTGATTACAAATTCACTTCAGCAAGGAGGTAAATTGCAGGCCGGGACAGAAACAGCAGGCCCTGAGGCCGATGGCATCGGCCTGGGGGTGAGAAGGCCCCGATGAAACAGGCTTGCCCCATGGGACACGCCCTGGGCTCAGGTGCCTGAACCTAACCAGGGGCACTCGCCTTCACGGAGGAGCTAAAGGCCCCTGAGCCTCCTCTGTAGTGTTTTAAATGTTTCACAGATAGGGGCACCTGGGTGGCTCAGATGGTTGAGCGTCTGCCTTCATCATGCCAGGTCATGACTCCTGATAGAGCCCCACGTTGGGCTCCCTGATCAGCAGAGAGTCTGGTGCTCTTTCTCCTCCCTCAGCTCATCCTCTCTCTGTCTCTCTCAAATGAATAAAAATCTTAAGAAAATTTATTTTTCACAAATAAAACATACTACTTATGCAACTGAAATTAACTTTCAAAAAGCGATTAGAAAACCCAGCCCCAGGGGCACCTGGCTGGCTCAGTCAGTAGAGCTGGCGACTCTTGATCTCAGGGTTCTGAGTTCAAGCCCCGCATTGGGTTTAGAAATTAGTTAAAAATAAGATCTTAATAAAAATAAGAAAACAAAATGAGGCCCCTTCTGAATTCTCATCACCAGGAGTGGTCCTGGACTCAGGAGAGCTGGGGGTTAATCATACTTAGGGACAAAGTCCAGTATGACCTGGGTCTGGGAGTCTAACCTCCGGAACCCTGTCAGTCACTCCTGGGGCAGTGCAGGATTTGGATGAGATGCCCGTGAGCAGACATGATGAAAGTGGCCGAAAATGTCATCTGGAGGGGAAACTGAAACCCTCAGAGGGGAGAGTCTGATTGAGGTCCCCCGGGGCCCAGAGACTCCGTGTCTGACACCGATGGAGACCCTCCGTCCAAAAGGCAGGCCAGGGGCCTGTTCAGAGAACGGCCTGACGGATGTAGGGAGGCCCAGGGTTCCCAAGAACCTGGAGGATCTCTTCCCCAGTGGCTGCTTGCCCTTCTGGGCAGCCAGGAGGTACCAGGCCTGGTCCCTGCCTCCACTTACCAGAACGGTGATGGTGCCATGAAGTGGGCCCATGGTCTGCAGGGTCTCTCGGCCATCCTCATCCCTGTACTCCCACTCCACACCCATTGCAATGAAGGACTTGGAATTAGGATCCACATCATTCTCTTCGTTTAAAATGAACTTGCCCGTCTCCAGGTTCTTGACGGCTAAGAATAGCAGAAGACAGCCACCCCTACCACAGTCACTTGGGTGCAGAAGCCTGGCATGTTAGGGAGAGGCTGGCAGGTCCACAGGTCTGGACTGGTGAGGGGGTTGTGAGGAACAGATTCCCCCTGTCTGTCCCAGCCGCCCTCTGCTAGGGGCCCATCCATGCCAATGACGGCACAGATCACCGTAGGAGCCAGTCTCACCCTCTGCTGCTCAGCTGGAACTATACTGCCCAGGGCCCTTTCCTCGATCTGCCCCCACAGACCCTGGGCCATCTCCCTACAGTCTACTTGGAGTCATCAGCAGGCACTTAGAGCCAATGACCCCCACACTGCACCCCAGCCTCCTGGGTGCAGGCCATCTGCTGGACATTGGGACTCAGGGCTGGAGTGAGGCTTCCCGCCATGGGGTGAGCATACGTCCAGTTAAAAATTAGGGTCTCCTCACCCCAACCTGGAGGCCCATCAGTTCCCCACATATCCTCAGAGGCCTGGCTTGACCAGGGGCTCTCATGGGCCACAGGGAATAGCCCTGGATAAGCAGGTATCTAGGAGCCAAGAATCAAGAAGCTGGTCAGGAAGCCTCCTGCTTCCCACAGTGTGGAAGGCAGCTACTGTGGGTGCTGCTGGACGATTTTAGGAGGGCCCCAGATGGGGCTCACAGAATATGGAAATTGCTCCCTGCACGGGCCTCCTGTAATTCTCTGCCCCACAGAGAAAGCCTCAGCAGGGGCCGCCAGACCCTCAACTGGTCACCAACCCTGCCTCCTCTTATGCAGAGATCAGGCCTCGGACCTGGAGCCTTCAGCAGGAAACTTTAGATCCAAGTGTCTTTCCCTTTAGGAATCAACTTTTACATTTACTTTCCATTTAAGGCAAGTGGTACTGGCTTTGCATTTTGGGTAGCAGTATAAAGTTTCCTCTTAAAATAGGGAAGAGCTGTGTGTTGGTGGGGGTGCCAGACAGTGGCACTTTGGGAGTCCCAGACCCAGCCCGGTCGCCAGGGCACAAGGAGGAAGGTGGGGCCCAAACTGGGAGAAGAGCCTTGTCTGGGATCTCCGTAGTGACCCCCCCCCCAGCCCGCATCACTTTGGACTTCAGCCCATGACTATCCAGGAGGGAGGGCCCAAGTGCTTGCGGGAGGTGGGGGCGAGGATGGGTGAAGGCCTCCCGGGGTCCTGCAGTCTCGGAGAGCACAGTCCCACAGGCAGGCAGGGGCCACCGCATGGGAGGATGTTCACTAAGAACATCCACATTTGCAAGAGATTCCAGAAATCTATATTCCAGGAAGAATCTCTTGAATTTAAAACTAAACCAATTTGGAAATATGCAAATACAGTCTGTGACCAACCACAGGCCAGCCCAGGTGCCTTCTCGGTGAGTAGGCTGCTGTCCAGGACTCTGCCTGCCTTCCAGTGGTTAGAGGGGCCTTCCTCCTTGGCCCTGAGATGGGGGACGGGGAGGCAGTCACCAGTCTGTGGGCTGGGAGTATGGCAAGCTTTACACACATGTCCCTCCACACTGCTCCCAGAGCAGCCCTCTGACCCCAGCGGCCCCTGACCTCTCCATCAGGATGTGAACCCAGGAAAGACCCTCCAGGTGGGCTGAGCCAGGGACGGGGTGGTGCAGCTGCGCCTGTGCCTCCCAGCCTGACCTCCGACTCCTGGGCTCTGCCGCCATCCCTGGAACTGCTGAGCTTCAGAGACTCACCCAGGTGGTGGCTGGTGCTGTCTGCCTCCTGGATAAGCAGGTGTCTGGCTCCTGCTGGGATCTCAAACATCTTGATGTAACCTTTGTTGGGATGTGGGGAGACAAAGCCAAATGAGACAGAAGAGGCCACTGGAACACAGACAATGCACAGAGGGGTCTTGCCCTCAAAGGCCATTCCAGAGGGCTCCATATTTCATGGGTTTTGAACTGCCCACCTGGACAAGGGCTGATGGGAAAGGTACTGCGTCCCAGCTGGCCAAAGCCGTTCTGCTCCTTTCAAATCCCAGCTGTGCCCTCCGCCTCTTCCACTAGAAAACTTGACAGGAATCCTCAGGGTGGCCCTGGAGCCATGCCAGAGCTTGTAAGCTAAGATGCCATATCTGGGAGGGAGGCCCTTTAGCAAACCACTTGGCCTCCTGAACCGTGGGAAGGGTCAGCCTCGCACCCTGGCACCAGGTCTGAGTGAAGGTCACGGCCTTCTGAGAGACGAACCAAAGTGGCTTCTCCTCATTTCAGACAGAGGTGAAAGTCACTGCAGGCCCACCCAGAGAGCTGTTCTTTCAGAGCCCAGGTTGGCTGGGGACCAGATGGCAGCAGGAGCGGAGAGGTAAGGAGCAAGGGACCCAGAGCCCAGAGGCCTGCTGGGCAGCTCTGGAAGGCAAGAGAGGGGTGACCTATGCAGCCCTTGCCCTCAAAAAAACTGCTAAGATCTTCCCTGTGGCCCCCTCTATGTTGGCATTCTCTGCCCTGACCCCTGAAACCTGGTTTCCATTCTCCCTGTTCCCCATCCACCCTGGAGCCTGGCTCAAACTGTACCTGACTTATGATACTCCAGCAAGTCATGTCCCCGCCCTCATCCCAGAGGTGCTGCCGACATTCAGGCACCAAGGGCGGGAGGGAGGGGCTCACTCACCAAGCTTCTTGGGGGAGCGTGTGAATGTGCCTTTGACCACTTTGCAGTGAGTGTTGTCCCCTCCACACACGCCACATTTGTCCTCCTGCTTGCTGGAGCCAATCACTCCATCACAGCCCACCTTCTGCAGAGGGAAGGGGTACAGTGCATAATTGAGAGCTGTCCCCACTTGGGCCCTGGCCTGATCCGTGCCCCCAGGGCCCTGCCACCTGTTCCCTCTGCAGTTCAGGTCCACACTATCCTTAGCGGTTCCCAATGCAGACGAAGGGACAGGGCTTTGGAGCAACACAGACCCTGTGCGCCCACCCACAGAGCAGCCACTGCTGCTCACTGCACCTCATCTGCTCATCTGGACAGTGTGACCTCACAGGGCTCTGCACAGCCTGATCAGGGCCGCCTGCCGAGACTAGCTTGGCCTGGCAAGCTGGCCTCCACACAGATGTCACTGTCCTGATGGCTGTGAATCAGCCCTGGCCTCTACCCTTCTCCTAGGCGGCCATGTGGTGCAGCCTGTCTGCGGCTCCCACCCAAAGCTCAGTCTTTTTAGTCTGTGTCCGGGGGTGCCGGGGCAGGAGGTGACAAGAGTTGTTGAGAACAACTGTGCCTCCATTCCTTCAACAAATCCTCTAAATATCACCCATTCCGGTGTCAAAATTATTCCACACTGACCAGGGATGCTCCCTTGCCCCAAGCCACCTGGCAAAGTAGTAACAAATTTAGGTTCTTCTACTCTCCATAGCTCTGGCAGCACAGCTTTCCTGGGGCCAGGGAAACTCCACGAAAGGAGCTCCTGCAGGACGATGGCCCTGAGCATGCTGCCTGAGGCCACTTTGTCCTAGCTCAGCCAAGGAAGACAGCCTGTCCTCTGAGCTGGTCTGCTCCCTCCGCCCGTCCTAGAGTGCACCAGAGCATCACAGGGTTCCCGTTTTGCTGAGGCTGCCAAGAAGCTCAGATCCAATTGTCCTTTCAAGGTCATCCTATCACCTACCTTTGGAGAAATCCACTTCTTCCTCTGCTCTTTGATTTCTGGCTTTTGTCTTACAAGGCCCTTTGAGGGCAGGGACTCTTATACCATGCAGGGGCTACAGAGGAGTGGTTCGTGAATCATTTTTGAAGGTGTGGATAGACACTGATGATCTTTGGTCTTATCTATTTCTGTGTAATCATAAGCCTTTTGAACCATTTTTGGAAGTGAACAGGGTGAAAAGCAATCAATGAAATGAACATGCTAATTTTTATTTTAATGATTCCTGGGGTGGGGGGAAATTACCAGGGAAAAAAGAGGACCAAACAAAAGCATCGGTCTTTAAAAGTGCAGAAACCTGAGCCAAAGCATGCACCTCCCTTTTCTAAGTAGGTGGGCTGAGGGCACACTGCTCGATCTCTGAGTTTGTTTCCACGTTTGTGACATGGTTTTCAGTGCACCCTGGCCTGTGGGGGCTGTTGCTGGGGGTGGGAGGAGATGATCCTCATAAGCACAGTCACAGTCTCCCTTCGTCAGGGAAGGCTGGAGGTGTTGTAGAGGAGGAGAGGGGGGAGGAGAAACCCCTTTCAGGCCAGGATAGTGTACTCCCTGGGAGAAGGATTGCTCCAGCCTCTCACCTGAGGGGGATTAGTGCTCAGTTTCAGACACTGTAAACCAAAAGCAAAAAGCCTTGGAGCGATAGGCAGATGGGTACCCATGCCAGGGAGCAAAGGAGCATCTGGGAGGCGCTCTCCCAGACGCCTGGACTCTGGAGCCCACGTGAGATCATGCGCCTAAACTGAGAATCAGCTCTGATCTAGAAGTTGTTCACTGGTACATAAGCTCTTTCTAAAAAGGCTTGCAGCCTTTTTACAACCCAAAACATGAATTAGAAATTCAGCTGGTTGGAATGGAAGGAGGATATCTGGACAGTGGAAAAATGAAGCAATATGCTACCTTTCTTAAGACACTTGTTCTAAATGAGACTTTGTTCTGAGAGTCACAGAAAACAGCATAAATGAACCACTTGATCTGTCAGAACTTGAGAGAAATTAAAATGGCCTGTCACCATTTCTCCCTCTCAAACACATTGTTTGTCATCTTTTGTTTTTTCTGAAATAGAAGTGTGTCTAATAATCATAGCGGACAGGACCTTGCCTGACATCTAGAAGAGCAGTTTTGTCTGGGTGGCTGCTGGGTGGCTCATCAGGTGGGATGACTACCAGGCCCAAGCAAGCACTGTCCCCAGCTCAGGGAGCCTCCACCCCTGGCAAGTGTCTACAGACCTTTAGGAGATACTATTTTAACATCCAGTGGTCTGAACCAGGGGGGAAATGCTCCTAAGCTGAATAGAAAAAGCTAGTGAACACCAAGGTCCTTGTGTGAGCCTGAAATCTTGCCTGAGATCCTACTGGGGTTGACTGCTTAGGATGGGGATGGCTCATGTCCGCAGGTGGCTTGGCATGGCTGCTGCCCACTAAGGCCACAACCAGAGCGGGATGACAGCTGTACTCTGCTTTGGTCCAAGCACAGGTGGGAGACGCTGGCACAGGTGGCAGGTGGTCCCAAGGGGAGGGGCCTATAGCTAACTAGGTCCTGCTTGCCTCTTTTCCCATCTGTTACGAAATCCTACGGGTGAGTCATCAGATCAGGACAGATGCTAGCCTATTTCAATCTCTGCCTTTCTCAATGCAATTTTCGGATCACATATTTGATAACACACTATTACTTTCTCAGAGCAGTGGATTGTGCCCTTTATCCAAACAAAATGACCCTGTTGGCCTCATTTAATTCTTAATACTCTTCATTCTCTGCTCTCGGGGTGTGTGAGAGTACGTGCGCACACGTGCATCTTTATTCTCCTGACACATCTTCTGCTGTCATTTCACTTTTAACCTTCCTGAGTCGTTGTTTACATATTCCCTAATTGACAGCAACCACTTGGACATGATTTTTGACCTAGTATGAGATTCTTTTAAAAGAAGGGCTGCACATCCTCATGCATTGTGAGGACTCAGTACATCATCTTACTACTGCCCACGTCCTTTGTGTGGGTCCAATCTTTCTGTCTCCTTCACTTTGGAACTTCTGCAGTATGATAACATACAAATGTAAATATTTATATTTCCCAATAATGCAAAAATCTATCATCTTACTGTTATTCCTTCAAAATCACCATTAATTAATGAAAATACTTAATCTATTCTTCAACTGTCAATGGTAGGAGTGGGGCTCTTGCCACTGAGATGGTAAATTAGTGCTCTGGCTTCTCCATTATGTTTGTAGCCATACCATAGTTGCCACTTAAAGCTACTTCTATTACTAAATGTTTCCCATGCTCACAGTTTGTGTTGGTCATGTTTCTAAAATTTTTCTGTGTCTTATGGTGTTTTGACATCTTAAAGAACTTGCTGGCTAGGGAGAGGCTGCCCCTTCCTCGTGCCAGCTCTTGGGCGTAGCAGAGGGCTAGTCTGGGAGCACATTTCATGTGTAAACCAACAATTCCCAATTCACCCCCTTTATCTGCCTCCCACACACCATCTGATGCTTCCCCTGCCCCAAGTCATCCCCGGGCCAGGTACCAGGAGAGCAGTGCACTCTTCACCCCTCCAGCCCGGAGCCTGCCTGCACTCTTCACACCTTTATACTAGCCAGTCCTCAACTGTTTCCTCTGCCCTGCCTGCCTTTTGCAAGGAAACCCCTATAAACACTGCCCTCCACTCCTTTCTTTCCCCCGACCAAACATGGTGCTTCCCCATGTGACCCTCCATAGCGAGGTGAGCCCTTCTCTCAGGAAACATAAGTAACGCACGCTTCCTTTAGTGGCATTGACCTCTGGGTTGTCACTTGGTCACATCCATAAATTAAAATCCCTCAGGAACAAAGGCAACGCTGCTACCTGGTTGATGTGGTTTCACTACCTGAGCAGACTTTAGACTTTGTAGCCTGGCCTCCCTGCCAGACTCAGGCTGAGCAGCTCCTCCTGGCCCTCTGCTGCTGCATCTGGAGGAGCCTCCTGAACCGCGGGCTGCGGGCTGCAGGCTACTGTCCTCTGAGCAGAAGGAAGCCCTGAACGCAAGTCCAGCGGTCCTGCACCCCACCTCCTTGCTCCTCTGGCCTCACTCTTTCTCTGGGGTACCTATGGCATCTGCCAGACTTCCTGAAGATCTCGTCTCTCAGGGAAACAAGACCAGAGTCAGCCTCTCTGACCCTACAATCAGTCCTGCCTACTCAGACTCTATGGAGGCTTCCAGGTGTTTCTAGGGAGCCTGGCTGAGGGCAGGCCTGTGCTCATGTCATGATCATATGCCAAGGTTAGTCCACCGTTGTTTCTTCTGACAGCCTAAGATTGAAGCCAAAGACCTAATAACAATGGAAAATATAGCAGGGTATTTCTATAAAGAGCTGAACCAATGAGATCCTGGGCCACCCTGATCAAGAACAAGCTATCCAGAGCCCAGCGGAGCACAAGGATGTGCAGCACTTCACAGCAGGTCATCTGTGAACCACATGCAGCAGAATCATCTGGTGAGCACATCAAATTCATGATCCCAGGCCTGGCTGGAGCTACAGAATCAGAATCTCTGGGGTGGGGGCCCAAGCTCCTGGGTGGCCCACAAACACATTCTAGTGTGAGCACCACTAGCACAGGGAAGGGGTCACACCTGCCCTGGTACAGGTGCTGATTCATGATCAACCTCAACAAGGCTGCCCAATAACCCCAAGAAGCGGACACCCTGGCCTGTGGCCCCTATGCCCCTGCAGTACCTCCTACCACCCTGCTGGCCCCATTACACTCACCTTGCACTCCCCACGCACACAGAGGCTGAAGGCGTCCCTGTAGGAACAGCGGGTGCCATCGTGCACCATGCGCTTCATAGACACCACCTCTCTGGTCTCCTTGGACTCGCAGTAGAGGTGACATCTCTCCTTGGCTGGAAGGGAAGCAGCAGGGTGTTGGCAAGACTGTTCTTAGGATTCACCCCCCCACACACCCCCACAGGCCTGCCCTGGGACAGAAAGGGAACGGGGGCAGGTAACTACAACCCTCTAGGAGTATTTACCTTTGACCCCAGGCTACTGGATTTAGGAAGAGCTTTTCCCAACAGAGCCAGGCTGATGTTGGTGCAGATCCCAGAGGCTTTGATGGCCCTTCCCTCCAGATAGCAACCCCCCTCTGAGAGGGGGACCCTGTCTACTCTGGCACCCACTCTTAGAACCACACACGCTGGGCATGCAGCAGGTTCTTGGTTGGTGTAACACACACGGGTGACAGAGAGAGGACAGTAGGCTCGTGCCTGGTGACCCACCCCTGCCCAGTGCCTGGCAGGAACTAGAACTGTATGTTCAAAATTCCAGGACTGGGCTCCTGTAGCCACACTGGCTAGGGTGGGCTGTGCTGACAGCCTGGTGTGGCCCACAGGTTGCTCAAGGAAAGTGCAGGCCCTGGCCTGCCCACAGCCTTGGCACAGCCTCTGAGCACCTGTTCCACTCTGTCCCTGGGGGCTCACCATCCCGATGCTCATGGGGCAGCCAGTGGTGCTGGTTATCGCCGTGCTCGAAGTACAGGTCCCACTGCCGACACTGTTCCTCACGGAAGTCAGCCAGGGCATCAGGGCAGTCCTGGGAGTTGCAGAGCTGGAAATCGTAGCCAAGGCCTGAGCAAGTACGGCCCCCGTTGGCTGGGCTGGAGGAAAAGGGGGAAGGCCTTGTAGCTTGGTGCCACAAGAAGAGGATGGCATACGGGGTGCCAACTGTGGGATGGTGGGGATTCCTGAGTCTCGGGTGTGGGGATGGAGCTCTGCAGAATGAAGGGACCCAGCCTCCAGGAACTCAGAGTATTAAGTATAGAGGAGTTAGTGATTCCTCCCTCTGGGCCTACCAAGCACTCACACCCCCAGCTCCCATTGCTGTGACTGAACCAACAATGGGCCATGGCTGGGAGTTAAGGTTTGGCCTTTCCTGGGACATTAATCAAAAGATAGAGGTGGGCGAGTCCTCTACACCTGGGCCTAGGCCTGTGCCTGACACACGGTGGGAACTCAAAGAACAGTTCCAGACCAGCAGGATCCCACTGTACAAGTTCCCAGCAGGGGTCAGGAACAGAGCAGACACTCTGTTCACTGGTTTTCCCCCACCTCAGAGGCTTGGGGTTGAGTTTCCCTAATTCCCTCACTTCACTAAGAACAGTGCTCATCCACAAAGCACTAGCTCCATAGCAAAGGCCAGAAAAGGTACCAGCTATGGGCCAGCAGGTGCCTCCAGCACGTGGGGTAGTGGGGCGTGGCAGGACCACACCCCAGGGGGAGCTCGAGGCCTCTGTCACCATCTGCCCAGCATGGCAGCACCAAGCAGAATCTGAGCCCCCACCGAAGACTTGGGCAAGGGTCCTTCTCTGCCCACGTGACAGGGGTGGCCAGTGTGGCCACATGTGACACAGCAGAGTGGACAAAGAAAGGGCAGCTTCTGTGAGGCTCCTGCCCCAGTGCCATGTTCTTGAGGGAAGTTGGTGGGAAAAAGTGATACAAGAAATCTGTGGAGAGGAGTTCCTGGGTGTCTCAGTGGGTTAAGCCTTCAGCTAAGGTCATGATCTCAGGGTCCTAGGATTGAGCTCTGCATTTGGTTCCCTGCTCAGTGGGGAGTCTGCTTCTCCCTCTACCATTGCAGCTACTATCTCTCAAATAAATTTTAAAAATTTAAAAAAAAAAAAGAAATCTGGAGAAAGAAGCAATAAGCCTCAGTGCTTGATGGGGTGGATGAATAGAAGCAGCTCTGAGATTCACACCAGGGCCACCACCCATGGGGCAGCAGAGAATGACAATACCGACCAGGGCATCACCAGGACAGCATGCAGGTGTGGGGAGCAGCAACCATCTGGGAAACAGCAGGAAGGAGGCGTACTGATTCCAATGGAAACCCAGGCTAACTCCAAAATAGAAAGTGAGCTGGAGAATTCAGGGGAGGTGGGCGAGGAAGACCAAGTAAGGAGCTTAGAGATGAGACCGCCTGCAGTTTTAGAGGTACAAAGTAGGGAGAGCAAACACAGAGGGAGCTCAGTCCAGGGAGCCACAGCTACCAACAGGAGGGTGGGAAGTCTGGTGTCACCCCCCAGAAAACGCACAGAAGGGGAGGTCTGTAGGGCCTGCCTCGGTTGCTGACAAGGAGGCTCTGTGAAGCCGGGGAGCTCTGAAATGCTCAGGGCCCTGCAGCTGCCCGGGTTGCCCACTGATGCTGGTGTAAATAAACAGTTGCCATGGCTCCCCAACAGTGCTGTCAGACCCCTGCTGATGCGGAGGTGAGTGCTGGCACTGGGCCTGATGGTTTGTGTGAACAGACAGCTCCTGTCACTGCTGTCCTTGTCTCTTGCTGCCACCAAGGAGGCTGGGGCTGGCAGAGGGGTAAAAAATCCCTAGAGCACACAGGCATGGAAGCACAAAAGAACATGGAGCCCACCTCCCCAACCTCAAGCCTGCATGAGCTCCCTTAGGGCCAGGCCTGAGAATGGACCCTCTGGCTCAGAGTTGGGCATCAGCCTTCAGGGCCTGGATGTCAGGGGGCTGGGCCAGATCTGCAGCCTGGCCCCAAGTCACTCCATCAGCACATGAAGAGGCAGCAGAGACTAATCACAGGTACTGAGGTTTGCTGCATGCCAGGTATCATGTCATGGATGGGAACCCTGCCAGCCTCACCCAGCACCTCAGAGCCTCTGTGGTTCTGGCTTCCTGTCCTGTCAATCTCATATCTCATCCTGAGGCAGGGGTGCTTGAGCAGAGCAGGGGCAGGGTACTTTCCACCTGACCAGAATGGGGCCTGGAGCCCTCAGGTGAGAACTGGTCAGAAGCAGGAGAAGTGTTCTCCAGGCGTGACTAGGGCAGCTGGCCCCAAGCACAGGTGTCCCTGAGGTTTGGGCTTTCCCACCGCTAGATTCCAGGGCTGTGTCCCTTCCTGACCACTGTAGACTTGACCTCTCTCCCCAGAGCTGAGATTGCTGACCCCCTCTGGCTTCTTGGGGGCCAGCTCAGGGCCTGGCCAAGCAGGGCATGGGAACTACTGCAGAGGCCAGAGCCCAGGTGGTCTGGAAGAGCCTCAGAGACCTGTAGGGTTTAAATGTTAGGGTCACAGGCTCCTTTGAGAAGTTGATATGAAACTAGAGAAAAACACATGTGTCTCTTAAGTCATGCACAATCCTGCTGAGGCTGTGGTGGGATCCAAGGAAAGGTGATGAGCCTAGGACTCAGGGCTTAGAGCCCCAACCCAAATATCGACAAGGTCCACGTGGGTAGAGGGGGTGAGTGAAGATGGCTGGGTCAGGCTGTCCCATGAAGGGGGTGGCCTGAGTAGTTCATTGCCCTCCAGCCTGTACTTGGGCCTGGCATTGCAGTGGTGCCCAATCTGGAAGCTGGAAATAGGATTCTCTCTCTTTTTTTTTAAATTCCAGGTTTGTTTGTTTGTTTGTTTGTTTTGTATATTCATATGAATCAAAATCTTTAAAATACCAAACAAGTCAAAGAAAGAAAGACAAAGCCTCACATCTTCCAGCAGCCACGGGGCCTCCCGGGGTAAGGTCATCTGTGGGGGGATCCGTTCACATTCCTGTACGTGCACCCACAATAAATCCATGAGGTAGCCTGCCTGAGGCCCCGGGGGACTTGCTGATGCACCCGAGTCACACAGAGCTGCAGAGGCCCAGGTGCTCTGACTGCACGCCCTCCCTTTCCATGGGCACTGCGCTGAGTGATGCAAGGGGCAGGACTGGCTGCGGCACAGACCTGAGAGATAGTCACAGGGTGGGGTAGAATGGGGGGATTAAAGGAAACCAGGGAAGAACAGCACAGCACAGGGCTTTGGGCCCCCATGGGAGGCAGGAGGGGGAGCATAGCTGAGCATGGGAGCCCAGCAGGCATGGGGGCAGCCTCCTTAGGCGATCTCTACCATACATACCCTGGGCGGCAGGTCACTGACCCTGCCTCTTGACTGACTGCACACAGCTATTCCCCTGCTTAGCTTCCCAGCATCCAGGAGCCCAAGAAGGCCCTCCTCCTTATTCACATTTCCCCATCTTTGCCACACCTTCTGTCTTCCACGCCCTTGACCAAGAAGGGCAGAGCAAGTTAATGTCTAGAGCAGGGTGCAGGCCAGGTCAGGAGGAATGGCTCCAGGCCAGCGGCCTAGGAGATGTTTCCAAGCCTCAGGACTGGCTCTGCCTCAGCAGGCTATGTGACCTGAGGCAAGATCCTTGCCTCTCTGAGTCTGCTTCCTCTCAGGAATGCGTCTTCTGTGCCAGCATCCTCTCCAGAAGTGGTATACAGCCACGGGGGCCCAGCAGGATAGCGCCAGCCAGCGAGGGGCCAGCGAGGGGCCTAAGGGACCTCAGCTACCATGCAGGAAGGTGGGAAACAGTGGGCCCAACTCACTGTGGGTTGTCACACTGGCGGGTCCGGAACTTTACACCTGTGCCACAGGTGCGTGAGCAGGAGCCGAATGGACTCCAAGCACCCCAGTTGCCATCCCGCTTGAGGATGTCAGGCGTCAGCCAGATGCAGTGTCCTTTAAAGCAATGCTGAAAGACAGAAGGTCACTCCTATGACTCACTGTTCCAGGGCCACTCAGATGCCCCATACTCTTCAGCCTGCAGTTCCCTTGATGTGTGCTCAGCCCTAGAGGCACTGGGAGAGAAGGCTGCACTTCCCCTAGGCATTCAGAGCCCCGTTGAGAGGTCCAGAGAGGTGCTGGCCTGCCTGCTCCCCCTGACCACCAACCTGGCGACCCGCCATCCTCCACGTCTTGTCCAGCCTGCTGTCCCTTCAGCCAGAGGCTGCCCTGCACCCCACACCAGGTCTCCAGGTGAAGCCACATTCATAAAGAAGCAGCATTCATAAAGAAGCACCTGGCAGGTCAGGCCATTGACTTCCGAGACATACAGGACTTACCCATTTACGTTTAAAGGAAATATAATGGACATGAAGGTCAGGTGCTTTGGTAAGCATTCATGAACCCAGGGAGCAGAGCATTGGTGCTCAGGGAACACAGACCTACCACTTGAATCTGGTCACACTGCTCCCCAGCCTCCCACGGGGAGGACACTCATACAACTTAGCACCGCTTTAGGAAGGATATTACAAAATATAACACATTAGATATAAAATGCAATATTGATTTAGAACAAGAAAATACATCACAAAAAGTTAAAAATTTAACAATGGACCAATACTGTGCACACAACCAAAAGCAGAGTACAATGATTTTTTTTTTTCAAATTAGCCAGCTGCTACAACTTTTCCTGCACTTCTGATGGCAAACTTGTCCATCCCCTCCTCATGTAACGCCTGAGCCACAGGTACATGCGAAGAAGCTGGGTGGATTCCAGGCACCCCGGGAGATATCCAGTTTCAGAATGTCATTTTGTAAGTCTGTTTCTCATATTGAGAACACAAAGATAATGCAGCCATTCCTCTGCAAACTTTCTCTGTAAGGACCAGAAGCTATTTTGGTTACATGATCTCTTTTGTAACTACTCACCTCTGCCACTGGAGCATGAATGCAGCTACAGGCAACATCAGTGAATGAACATGGCTGTATCCCCAAAAACTTTATTTACAAACAGAGAGCACGTGGAAACGTCTATGGTGGACCTATAAGGAGCCTGGTGAACTCCTTCCTCAGATAACCATTTAACTGGTAAAAATTATTTTTAAAAAACAACCACTTAAAGTATCTAGAAATTGTCCTAAAGTTGATACAACAGATGGGGAAACATTTTTTCAAGGATATCTACAAAATCTTGGTGAGAAGAGTGAAGTTGGGGCACCCAGGTGGCTCAGTGGGTTAAGCATCTGCCTTCACCTCAGGTCATGATCTTAGGGTCCTGGGATCGAGCCCTGTGTCAGGCTCCCTGCTCAGCAGGGACCCTGCCTCTTCCTCTCCCTCTGCCTGCAGCTCCCCCTGCTTGTGCGTGCTTGTGCGTGCTCTTGCTCTCTCTCGCTCTCTCTCTCTCAAATAAATATATAAAATCTTTAAAGAAAAAAAAAAAGAAACGTGAAAGTCTATGGCATTTGGGCCATAACCCCTGCCTCTACCTCCCCCTCTACCCCCAACTCGGGGGGCAGAAGTTTTACTGCCTAGAAAATGGAGCTATCTATCCTCCCTGCTCCCAGTCCAGGGCTACAATTTGACCCTGGGAAGGGCAAGTCACTGGCACCTCCCAACTCACAACACTGTCTTGCAGAAAGTCAATTCCAGCCAGCAGAGCCAAAAGGACTAGGGCTCCCATTGCTGGGTGAAGATTCTACCCCAGATATAAGATTCTACTCCAGATGTCAGGCTAAGAATCCTAGACCTGGGCAGACCTTTCCCTGGCATGCTTGTAGGGCAGAGGTCCTGTCTTAAAAAGAAAAAGCCAAGAAGAGTAGGGACTACCATCCCCACTGACGGACCCACCTGTAGCCAGGATGCCACCCTGTAAGAAGTGGGCCACACTGCACCCTAGTCCTAGTGCAGTGGAGCAGTGGTCTTCCCAGAGGCAGAGGCAGAACAGTCAGTTCCATAGCTCTCCCTAAGGGGACCAACTTAATTTGGAACAGAGTTCCAAATGAGCAGCTAGTGAAATGTAACTGGGTGACCAGTAGGGGCAGAACAGCCAAAAAGCCTACCAGGAAAGTCAGAGAAAGAGACAGAGAGAACATGGCTAACATCCCTGTCTTGGGGTGGGAGTTGGGGGCTGTGTGGTCAGGGTGCCGATGCACAGGCCCAAGGCTATGACCTCTGGTGGGCAGTATCAATGGCTGCACACTGCAGGTCAAACAAATATAGTTTATGCAAACAGTGTGACCAAGTCGCTAAACAAAAAAACAAGCAAACAACAGCACAACAACGTCCAGGGCATCAATATCCAGAGTCTCTTCAATGTATTGTCTCCATTGCCCAGTTTCCACCAAAATTTCTGACATGACATGAAACAGGAGAGTGTGATCCACACATGGGAAAGTAAGCAGGTGATGGAAATTACCTTTGAGGAGGCCCAGATGTTGGACTTAGCAGGCAGATTTCAAAACAGCTATTATAAATATGCTCCAAGAACAAATGGGAGCCATGTCTAAAGAACTGAAGGAGAGGAAAGGACATTGTCTCACCAGATAGGGAACATCAGGAAAGAGAGAAAAACTACTACAAAAATGCAAACAGAAATTCTGGAATTGAAAAGTTCAAAAGCTGAACGATAAGTTCACCTAGGGCTCAGCAGTAGATCTGAGTTGACAGAAGACAGAGTCCAGAAACTTGAATACATATCAGTCACGATTCTGCAATCTGATGAGTGGAGACAAAAAGGAGTGGGAAATATTCAAAGACATAATGGCTGAAAACTTCTAAAATGTGAAGGGGAAAAAATTAACCTATATACCCAAGAAATTTAACAAACCCCAGGTAGAATAAATGATAAATAAAAAAGAGATCTGTACCCAGACACATGATAGTCAAATTAGTGAAAGACAATGAAAATGTCCAAAGAAGTAAGAGGAAAAAGACTCATCGTGTATAAGGAAAGCCCAATAAAATCAAGAGCTGACGCTTAATCAGAAATAATGGAGGCCAGAGGCAGTGGTGTTAACCAAGGATAATCAATACAACTATCTCTGAACAACGAAGGTAAAATAAAAACATTCTCACACAAACAAAAACAGAGAATTTATGGCTATCTGATTGCCTCATAGGAAAATACTAAAGGAAATTATTCAGGTGAAAGCAAGTGACACCAAATAATAATCCAAATCCACATGAAATAAACAAAGAGTGCTGGAAATGGACATTTTTTTAGAAAAACACAGACTGCCAAAACCACTTTAATAAGATATGGAAAATCAGAGTACACCTATAATAAGTAAAGAGATTAAATGAGTGATTAAAAACCTCCCACAAATAATATCCCAATCCCCGATGGCTTCCTTAGTGAATTCTACTGAACACTTAAAAAAACATTGATACCATTCCTTCATGAACTCTTCCAAAATATGGGAGAAAGAAAGAAATTCCCCAATTCATTCTATGAGGCTAGTATTACCCTGATACTAAACCCCCCGACAGAGATACTGCCAGAAAAAAACTGCAGACCAATATCTCTTATGAAAATACACAAAAATCTTCAACAAAATCCTAGCATACCAAATCTGACCCATATGAAAAGATTATATACCACAACCAGGTTATCCCAGGAGTGCCAGGTTTAATATCTGAAAATCAAGCAATGTAATAAACCATATTAACAAAATAAATAACAGACTGTATGATTGCCTCGAGACTCAAAAAATGAAATCTGGCAATCACCAACATCCTTTCCTGAAAACACAGGCGTGCATGTACACACACACACACACACACACACACGACAAGGAATAAAAGAGAACTTCCTCAATCTGATAAAGGACATTGAAGAACTACCTGTAGCTAATATCATACTAAATGATGAAAGAATGAATGATTTCCCCCTATGATCAAGAAAAAAGTCAACATTGTACTGGAAGTTCTGGCCAGGAAAATTAGCCCCCCCCCCCAAAAAAAAGAAATAAAAGGCATCCAGCTTGAAAAGGAAGAAGTAAAACTATCTCTATTTGCAGGTGACACGATTTTACATATAGAAACTCCTAAAGAATCCACTAAAAAGCTATTAGATCTAATAAAGAAACTGAGTGAGATTGCAGGGCACAAGATCAATACAGAAAAATCAATTGTATTTCTATGAAGAGTTTATCCTATAATACAGTGGAAGTGAAATTAAGAATCTATCTGCAATAGCATCAAAAAGAAGAAAAAAACCTTAGTAATAAATTGAACAAAGGAAGTATAAAACATGCACCTTAAAAACTAAAAAATACTGTTGAAACAAATTAAATGTCCAAATAAAAAGAAAGATATCTTGTATTTATGGTTCATATTGTTAATATATTGATACCCTAGATTCAATGTAATCCTTTCAAAATCCCAGCTGGAGTTTTGCAGAAATTGAAAAACTGCTCTTAAAATACAGACATCCTTGCCAACACTTGTTATTTCCTGTCTTGGGTTCTAGCCATTCTGACAGGTCAAAGGACTGGAAATAGCCAAATAAATTTTGAAAAAGAAAAAGTAAGACAACTTGCACTTCCCCACTTCAAAGTCTAACACAAAACTACCGTAATCAAGACAATGTGGCTCTGTCATAAGGATAGACAAATCTATTGATGGCAAAGAATGCAGGGTCAGAAATGAACCCTTACATGTGGTCAGCTGGTTTCCAACAAGGGTAACAAGATGATTCAACAGAAAGAGAACAGTCTCTTCAATAATGGTGCGGAGATGACCAGATGTCCACATGCAAAAGGATGAGGTCAGACACCTACCTCACACCATGCACAAAAGTCAACTGAAAATGGATCATAAACCTAAACGTAAGGGCTAGCCTCAGAATACAGCCCAGAAATATATCTTCTTGACCTAATGGCAATGGTTTCTTAGATACAATACCAAAAGCACGGGCAACAAAAGAAAAAATATATAGATAAACTGGATCTTACTAAAATTAAAACCTTTTGTGCATAAAATGATACTGTCATGAAACTGACAAGACAAACCACAAAACAGAAAAAAAATGGTCACAAACCATTTCGCGCATCCCTTATTGGGATACAAATATATATAAAGAACCCCTATAGCTCTAATAAAAAGATAAATAACTCAATTAAAAATATGCAAAGGATATGAAGAGACATTTACCCCCCCCCCAAGGTACATATATATCTTATATATCACACATGGGTGTGTGTGAATCACCACTAAGCACATGATGAAAAGATGCTTAACATCACAGGTCACTAGGGAAATGCCAATCAAAACCACAATGAGATGACACTTCCTACCCCATGGGATGGTTACAATAAAAATACAAATGATAACAAGTTTGGGAGAGGATATAAAGAAATTAGAACCCTCATACAGTGCTAGTTGGAATGTAAAAAAGGTACAGCTGCTTTGGCAGGGAGTTTGGCAGTTTCTCAAAATGTGAACACAGAGCTACCGTAAGATTCAGTAATTCCACTCCTAGGTACATATCCAAGAAAAGTGACACATCCACCCATAACTTGCACAGGAATGTTTACAGCAGCATTTCTCGTAACAGCTGAAAAGAAGAAACAATTCAGATGACCATCAACTGATAAATGGATAAATAAAACACAGTATATCTTTACAATGGATTATTATTCAGCCACTAAAAGGAAGAGAGTACTGACATGTGCTATAACACAGAAGAATTTTGAAAACATTATGCTGATTAAATAAAGCCAGACACAAAGGACACATATTATACAATTCCATTGATAAGAAATGTCCAGAAGAGGCAAATCTACAGACACAGAAAGTAGATTAGTGATTGCTCAGGACTGGTCAGGGGTTGAGGGGAGAGAATGAATCAGGGAGAATGCTAATGGGTATGGCACTTCTTCCTGGAGTGACCAAAATGTTCTAAAATTTGAGTGTTGTGATAGTTGCACAACTCTGTGAATATACTGAAAACCACCGAATTGTACACTTCAAATGGACAATTTTATTTTTTTAGATTTTATTTATTTGAGAGAGAGAGAGAAGACAAGCAGGGGGAGAGGGAGAAGCAGACTCACCACTGAGCAGAGAGCCTGACATGGGGGCTAGATCCCAGAATCCCAGGATCATGACCTAAGCTGAAGGCAGATGCTTAACTGACTGAACCACCCAGGCACCCCTAAATGGGCAATTTTAAATGTGAATCACATCTTAGTAAAGGTGTTGGGGAGCGGGGAGCCAGGTGGCAGGTGGCCTAGGTCTGTGTGTGACAGCTTGCTAACTGGCTCTAGCATGTTGAGGGACATATTTTCTTTTTTAAATAATTGGCAATTTAGAGAAGGTATTGGTGGTGTCATAGGAACATTCACATAATCAAATCTGGAGAAACTGCTATCTAGTCTGTTTCCTGATGTGGATGTCAGGGCATTTCAAGTTTTCTTGGTTAGAGCCTGATTTTAAATGTAACATTCAGTAAGTTGCTATTGACTATTGGAGGGGCAACATTCTGAGCTTTGGATTGTCTTTCATGTTGTCAACATTTCATGTCAAGTCAGGAAGAAGTTTAAATGCTTCTCCCATGTGTTCATCAGATTCACTCCCCTTCATTAACTGGATTGTCAAATATTTCAAGAACCTGCCTGTTACTTCCCTATGATATTTACCTTTTCCTCCTAATGAATGGCTGCTTTGGGGTTTGATCTGAGACCTTTTCTTATTACTATTAAGTTTCTGAAGTCGGTGTTACTTCTCCTGATTTCTTCACTCCATTTTCCCTTTCATTTTCTATTAATTTTTATCTGAATTTTCTTCAATACATAATTTTGAAAATGACAGAAGGTACTTTTATCCATCTATTTGAATCAGAATCCTGTCATTTCTCTTATTTTACTGAAGCCTTCCAGAACAACTTTCAAAATTGCAGTTAAACTGGCATATTCAAGCTTCATCAACATTTCGAATAAACTTTTTGCATCCCATTTGCACTCAGATTTCTCTCCTGGTCTTTGGGATTTTATTTTAGCACCTTTATATTTTGTAGTACATATGTTGTGAGGCGTGGACAGCTTTTTAACAAGCAGGCCATCTGGTTACACTTAGCCTTTTTAAAGAGACGTCCAAGTAGGATCTGTGTTTAAAGGAGCCCATCTGCAAGACAGACCCCCAAAAGCAAACAAACTATCGTCAATATGAAAGCTGTAGTGACCTTAGGTCCAGCTGAGGCTCCTTTTGTCCAATGATCAGAGGGGACACACAGCACATACTCCACAGTGACGCTGAATGAGTTGGCAAGGCGGTGGTAGGAATGCATTATTCCTACCCCTGGACAACTACAGTAACTTAGCTGTACATGAAAGATACTGAGACCATGTAAATAAGCCAATAGATAGACCTCAAATGCAATTTCTCCTTAGCCAAAGCCACAAAGCACCTATTGCCACTCTAATGCCAGTGAAAGACGTATGTTGGAAGGGGAGGGGGAGTGATCTTAATTGGCTAGATCTTATGGTTAAAATATACTTTTGCAAAATTTATGAAAACACATGACCATGTGAACACAGGAGGGGTCCTGAAAGGGGCCCTGTGGAAGTGAGAAGCCCGGAGTTTATATATCCTAAGCTTCATGATAAATTTACCTCTGTTCCTCCTCAAAACCTTCTGCAGGGTTCCATGCTGTAGGATTCAGACTAGCTCCTTAGCCTGGTATCAAGGCCCTGTATGACCAGCTCCCTACTCACCCCTCCTGCTTCATCTCCCGCCACCATGCCAGGTGCCTGGCTGCTGACTGCTCTCTGAACAGACCACACTGTCTTTCCTCCCTGCTTTCGGGAATGCCTCTGCTCAGGAAACCCATCACCCCACTTCCACCTCTCCACCCACAGCTTCACACACCAAGAATTCCTGATGTGGGACAGCTTTCACTCTGTGCTCTTGGGAACCAGGGCAGCCTGAGCCCAGCCCCAGCTCTGCCCCCAACACATTCAGCAAAGCTCTACTCTTTAACAAATAAAATATAATTGTATTTACCGGGCTAAATGAATAAAGGATCATGCCACCAAAAAGAATGAATGAAGAAAAAAAAAAGAATGAAGGGCAATGGCCAGGTCAGTGGTTTCTGTAAGGAGAAGCACTCTGGCCATATCTATGCACCTTCCTCACCAGACTACCCCCTCCCCGCCCCACAAGAGAAGGGAGGGCAATTGGCATTCCGGAAATGCAGGCATTTCCTGGCCCACCTTCTCCCAGTGGCTGGGATCCCTTGGTGGTTACACTTGTTCAGGCCAGATTCCTGCTCCATCTGCCTTCTGTCTATGCAGGGTGGGATGGCCGAAAGTGAGGACCGAGGGTGGGGTGAGAAGCCATGCTGAGCTAGGCTCAGTCCCTAGCTCAGTGTCTACTGAGCTTGTCACAGGAGCTGTGGCAAATGCTTCCAAGCCCCTGTGCCCTCCATTGAACTTCTGTGGGGAGGAGGGCTTTATGGTCAGTTCTGGCTTTATGAGGTCCCTGGCACATTACTAACAACATCTCACCTCCAACTTCTAACGGTTCGTGGAGTCTAGGGGCACGGCTCAATCACCTAGGCACACCCTTAAAAATACCAATTCCCAGATCTTCAAACAAAAATTTGTACACAGATGTTCACAGCAGCACTATTCACAAGCACCAAAAGGTGGAAACAACCCAAGTGTCCATCAGTGGGTGAACATATAAACAAACTATCGTCTAGCCACACAGTGGAATATTACTCAGCCATCAAAAGGAAAAAAACACTAATATGTGCTACAATGGATGAACCTTAAAAACACAAAAGGCCATATACTGTCTGATTCTGCTCCTCTAGAATTCCAGAATGGGCAAATCCACAGAGACAGAAGGGCAGATTAGTGGTCCAGGGGGCAGGAGACAGGAGGGGAGCAGGGAGTCACTGCTTAATAGGTTCCCCTTTTGTGGTGATGAAGAAGTTCTGGAACTACCTAATGATATGGCTGCAAGACACTGAATATACTGAGAAGTCACTGAATTGTATAATGCAACGCGGTTAAAATGGCAAATATTATGTTGTACAAATTTCACCATAGTTTAAAAGATAAAAAAACAAAAACCAACACAATTCCCCATCCTCACCTCAAACCAAAATCTGCAGGGGTGAGCCTGGGAACCTGTATCTTTAAGGTCTATCAGGACCTAAAATTAGCCAGAAATTTAGACCTGTGTGGAAGAACCTCATGCCCAGATGACCTGGGGGCCTTGACTTGGAGGGCCTGATGTTGGGGCCCGCGTGCTGATGTGCACCCCTTACACTCCCCACTCAGGTCCGGGGCTTCGTGGGTGGTCATGCAGGTTTAGGCTCACCTACATAAGCTAGCCCGCAGCAAGCGACTGACTGAAGAGCAGGCACACGATCTTATATGAGCCTATGGGAATCAAGTCCAGGGTTTTGGCTGAAAAGACTTGGTGAGAAAAGCCCACCTTTTGTCAAGCTGCTGGAGGATGAGGAGTGGGTCTGGGTGGCTGGCAGGTGCCAGGAGCAGCCATTGGAGCTGCCTCAAGGGACAATGTGCCCATCAGGGGGCATACACAGAGGCCACAGGGATGGAAAGGCGAAGCCTGATGCTGAGCCTTGGGACCCGGTGGCCAACAGCCTCCAATGCTGGCCTTAAAGTGAGGTGACCCAGTCACTCACAGGGTCCATGGGGGGAAAGAAGGCTGTGGGAACCCTGAAACTGCTCCTCAGATGAGGGTGTTCCCAAGCTCCTCTTGAAGCACAGAGAGGAGCTGTGGGACACCAGGTTTGCTCTGAAAGAAAAACTAGTGTGTTGCAAGTAGAGGGGTGCAGAGAGTCTGGGATGTCACGTATGCAGCGTTAGGAGAAAGGAGGCAGGGTCCCCTGAGAAGGCCCCAGGCCTCTCCCCACCCGTGCTGTAGTGCCTGTCCCTGGAGCCCATGCATATCACACGGCCTGCCCTCTGCTCCGACTCACCTTGCCAGGTGCACACATGGTCCCGTCCAGGGGAGGGCCCTTCTTGGTCTTGCAAAAGTAGGGGTTGTCAGGGTGGCTACACCACAGCTGCTTGCAGGGGTCGAAGGTCCGGAACTGGAAGAGAGTACCAGCAGCTCGCCAGGCTGCCTCCCACTGCAGGGACCCTCCAGGGGCCTCACCCTGTCCCCCAGGGTCCTCCTGGACAGGGCGGAGTCAGGCACAGCTCGGCTGCCCAGAACAGGCCTATGTGGTGCCCCGAGCTCTCCGTGATTCTGAGGCTGGGACAACCTCCAGAATGCAGCGGCTGCTTCATGGCTCTCCGGCAGTGGGGCATCCCCAACCCCCAGGCTTTGGCCCCTGCACTTGTATTGGAGCCTGGACAGACAGCTGGGAGCCAGTGTACCTGGCAGGAAGGCTTCGTGGGCATCCCTCTGGCCTGGGTAGGAGTGGCAGGGAGGGGCTGTCACTGCAGGGCCTCAAGGGCACCTATAGACCCTGGGCTGAGGACTCTACCTCCTGAAGCCCTCTCCCCTGTACCTGTCTTGCTTCAGCCTTGGCCTCTGTTCCCTGGACGCCACAGTCACCTCTTCTTTGGCCTTTATGCTTGCTATATCCATAGCCCTTCCTCCAGGTTGTGCCTGAGGGATCCACCTGAAACTCAGACCTGGCCATGCTACTGCCCTCTTTAAACATTTCTAGAGCTCCCTGTGGCAATGAAAATCAAGCCCACCAAGCTCTTTAGGCAGCTGTGCAAGAGCTTAGACCACTTGCATCAGTACCCGAGTCCACCACTTGCTTGCTCTGTGGCCTTAGGCGTGTTACCTAGGTCCTCAGTTTCCTCATTTGTAAAATGGGAATACTTTGTTTCCTCCCTTCCTTCCAGCAGGTGGGAGCAGCATTTGGTCAGATGCTGACAGACAGTAATGCTCTTGCCACACTGCCTTGGATAGGGTGGGCCCTGATCGGCAGGTACGGTCAATTCTGATGCGCGGGTTTCCTTCTGCTGGCTCTGCCCTGGCACCAGACCCCAGTAACAAGTGGTTGCTCCTCTGTATGCTGTTTCCTCACCTCTAGATCTTTGCACGTATGATTCCTGCTTTCTGGAATGTCCTCTCCTTCACTCAGCCTTTATACTCACTTCTTCCTTGGGGAAGGCCTCCCCAACTCTGCAGGCAGCACAGGGGCCTCACCAGCAGCCCTCCCCCCACCCCTTGCTGACCTCCCAGTCACAGCCCCTTATCACTAGGACCCCATCTGGACTGGCCAGGTGGGCACTGGGGGCCGGAGCCAGTGAGAGGCAGCAGGTACAGAGGGAGAGCCTGCTCCATCCTGCCCTCAAGAGCCATGCCAACCCCAGCCACCTCCTAAGAAGCTAGCCAGACAGGGCAGGGGTACCCAGAGGCATTCTGACACTCACCGCCGTGCACATCATGTAGCCCAGGCCGAAGTCAAAGCGGCACTGCTCGTTCATGGAGTAGTGCAGCCCGGGGAGCTGGGGCAGCGCCGGCCAGTCGTGGGCAAACGGGTCATCCCGCAGGCAGTCATAGGAGCTGTGAGGGGACACGTGGGTGCTGCAAGCAGCCTTCAGGGGGAGCATACAGCCCCTGAGGCAGCTGTAGGCCCTTCTAGAGCCATGGGACGAGGCCTATCTGCACACTCCAGCCCTCAGCCCTGTTGCCTCTCTCTTCCTTGATGGGAGCCACCCAGGGACCCCATTAAGGGTGCTGCTGCCGTGCCCACTTTCCATCCAAGGCCGGGCCCCCTAACCAGGGGACCTCGCCTACCACAAACACTAACCTCCTGGCTCTCCCTTCCCTTCCCCACACCTTAGGCTGGAGGACAGAACCTGAGTTCGGGTGGGGCCCAGGCACATCGGGGGCACCTGCCCCCCAGAGCTGAGCCCAGGATGGTACTCACTGCAGGTAGCGGCTCAGCTCCTGCTGGCTGCAGCGGGACCAGTGGAAGCGATGGAAGGCTGCCTGCACCAGGGGCGCCATGATGCTGCCCAGCCGCACCTCGTCGCCACAGCGGTTGCCCTGCCCGTCGTGCTCCATGCCCAGCCTGTGCGGGAAGGGGCCGGGGGCAAGGCAGCCTCACTGGACCCTCCCCTGGGAGGGCTGCACTGACCAGGCAGCCAGGGGGCCACCCCAGCCTCCCCCAGCGGCTCCCCGTGCCTTTCCTTTCTCTGGTCTGCCCTGAGCCAGCTTTTCCACCAGCTAGGTTCTTAAAGCCAGGGGTGTGTGGGAGCCCTTGGCTTCCTGCCCTCCAGGGGCGCTGGTTCATGAGCACACAGCAGAGGCCCGAGAACCTCCACACATTCAGCAGCATGTACTCACATCCCTGCACAGATCCAGCGGCCCTGCAGTTTCCCCAAATTCAGGGGGTGCTTGGGGGCTACATACCTGGATGGAGTTGTGGCTTCCCCACCTCCAGCTCTTTAATTCTGGGCCAGACTCCCTCAAAACCCCAGTTATTCATGTGTAAATGGGGTAAGGAGGCCCCACGCCCAGGGGCTTGAATGGCGTAATGCCTAGAAGGCCACCAACACCCAACTGGTCTTTTGATTTGTTGCCTCAGTAGAACCTGGACCTCAGGCCTGCTCTGTGCAGTGCTGGGGTCAGGACTTCACATCCCAAGTGCTCCTCATACAGGGCATTTCCCCATCAAGCCATGATCTTCCCCATGCAACAAGTGAAGCCACTTACACATGGCCAGTCTCATGGGCCACCACGAATGCTGAGGAGAAGCCATCCTCATGGTTCAGAGTGCAGCTGCGGACAGGGTGGCACATTCCAGTGACAGGAGCATAGCCTGGGAGGAGGCAAAGTGCGGCTCTAGCTCCTGGGCCCAGAGCCATGACTGAATGGCTAGGCCCTGGCCCCAGTGCCTCCTACCATCCCCGGAACAAATGAGCCAAACCAGCTGGCACAGCTCAGGTGACATACACCCCAGGTGGCAGGCCTCAGCCCTGACTGTCAATGTCCACACTGCAGCCAGGATCAGTTTCTCAGGCATAGATCTCAACTGCTAGAACTCCCTGCCACGTTGGCAGCTTCCTGCCTGCTGTTCTCTTTCATGCCACATCCCACCTCCCACTTTGCTGAGTGTCCTTCTGGCCCCTAAGCAACACATCCCTTCTATACCTCCTCCTACTGCCCATAGGAACCCTGATCCCTGAGCCCATTCCCCCTCTAGAGGGTCTTCTCTGGGTCCTCCGTGGCTTCTCTGGGTCCTACGAAACCCTAGCTAGACCCACTTCCATAGCAAACACAGGGAGCAGTGAGAGTGGCCAGGAAGCTGCTCAAGGGCAGAGCCCAGGGATAAGAGCCGGCATGCCACTCTGCCCGGCTGTCATGTAGCCAGGATGGGCCAAGAGGACTGAAGAGTAGACTAGCTGCAGACAACGAGGCCCTCATTGCTCTCAGCCAGTGAATCTGCACTCTGGCTGAGGAGATTCTGAGCCACATTCCTTCTGAAGGATTCCCCTCTTCCAGGGGTCTGAGGGAAAGGAGCTGGACATACACAAGGTACTCCCAGAGGCAGAGGGTGGGGAGTGGGAGTGGGCAGGGGTGGCTGCAGCAGGCCACATCCCTTTGACATAAGATACCCAAGCACCCCCCTGCCCTTAGCCAGCCCAGCCCCATCCCCACTCAAGTGGCTTAGAAGAACCACTGAATTCACAGGTAATAGTGAGGAGACACAGTGCATTTTGCCGACCCAGTTACATTATGTGGCCCAAAGTAGTCAGGAAATAGAGACACACATAGGGACCAAGGGGAGGACTGAGGAATGTACTAGAACAGCCTAAGCAGGGGGGTGAGAAGGCCTGCAGGTGGCTGTCCTATGGGACAGCTGATTCCCCTGGGGGCTGAATCTGATCACGGAGTGGGGTTGTTCTTTGGGTGTCTCCAAGGAAGACAGAGGATAGCATTCCCATCAATGAGGAGGGGTAGGCTGGAAAGGGGCATGTGACTGAGACTGCACCCAACACTGAGGAAAACCAGAGAAAAGAGCCTAGCCACTTGCTCCCGGTCAAGATAAAGAAGTGCGTACAGAGCTGTGTGTGCAGAAGGGGGTCTCTGCTAAGGTATCACCTAGAGACCCACCAAGCAAGGAGCCTCTGCCCTAGGAACCCTGACCTAGCCCCACTTCTCACAGATCCCATGGGGAGATCCCAAGGCAATTTGTTCAAAGGGAAGAAGAGAGAAGAAGGGACAGGGGGCCTGGTGACCCAGGGTGTGTGGGTCCTGGATTTGTCTGTAAAAGCATGGTAATTGAATCACTGTCTTTTCTCCCTTATAATAAACAAGAAAATCTGTATCTTAAAGTATTGCTCTGAAGATTTTAAGATGATTGCTGTGGAATCAGTGTCCTAGAGTCAAACTTTGAGATCTCTTTGTTCACTGTATGCAAAGCCTGAATGTACATTTTCACACTACCTAGCATATTACATGGGTCTTTACAATCTGAAGGTTTGCAAAAGTGTCTTTATATTTTTTTATACCCTTCCTACTTATTTTATTTTGTCGTTGTTCTTTCTTTCTGGAAATCCTTTTAGATAAATATTGTACCTCTTGGGTTGAGCCTCTATGTCTTTGTTCTTCTATTTTAATTTTTTTGGATGTCTTTGACTTTTTTTTAAGGATTTATTTATTTATTTATTTATTTATTTATTTATTTATTTAGACAGTGAACGAGAGAGCATACACAAGCAGGGGAGGAGCAAAAGGAGAGGGAGAATCTTAAGCAGACTCTGTGCTGAGTGCAGAGTCGGAAGCAGGGCTCGATCTCACAACCCTGAGATCATGACCTAAGCTGAAATCAAGAGTTGGACACTTAACCAACTGAGCCACCCAGGTATCCCTATCCTTGACTTTTTATTTCAGTTTCTGAATTTTCTATTTTACCCATTATATCTTTAGTTTCATAAAAATTCTTTGCTGTTCTCTAATTCTTCCTAGCAACCTGTGCTGGGTTTATGGATGTATTTCCTCAAACATTCTGGGAATGATCACTTTTTTTTAAAAGTTCTCCCCCAGTCTCTAAATTATCTCTACCTCCTCTAGAGTCAGTTCTCCAATTTTGTTTTGCATCTTGGTCTTTTTCATGATAGAAGCTTAAAAAAAAAATGTCTGGGCATCCTTAGCTGTGTTTTTACATTTTGAAACAAAGGATGAGGTCACTGTCTAGAGAACTTATGGTGGTTTCTCTCCCTATGGAACAGTTTTGCTCCCCAAAAGAGCTGTCACCTGGACAAAAGCACCAAAAGGGCACTCTGTCACCTAGCTCACTGTTGTAAGGCTTGCAGGGTACTAGCAGCCCCTCAAAATGAAGAGGCACCAACTCTAAGTAGAAGCCTTACTCTGGGCTCAGTAGGATCTGGAATTACATTCTGTGTTCCCACTTGAATCCTACTGTGGTGCCAATCTATGTGGCAAAGAGGGCAGCTGCAGTGCCAGAGAGATGTTTTGTTAATATAAACTGATTTGGGCTCTGATCAGAGTCACTCAGGAAGTCTCCCTAGTTATGCAAATATGAGCAAGTGGTCAGCAGAAAGAAGCTAAAGGTTGAAAGAGTAGAGCAAGATGCAGGACAGTTAAGTATAAAAATTCATGGCCAGTAAGTGGTGGATGTAATGAGCACGTACATTATATAAATGTATTTTTAAAATGATTTTATTTATTTATTTGAGAGAGAAAGAGAGGGAGAGAGCACAAGCAGGGGGAGCAGCAGGCAAAGGAAGAGGGAGAAGCAGGCTCCCCACAGAGCAGGCAGCCTGATGTGGGACTCGATCCCAGGACCCTGGGATGATCACCTGAGCCAAAGGCAGATGCTTAACCAACTGAACCACCCAGGTGCCCCTAAATATACTTATTTTTATAAAAGAATCACTAGAACAATCAATCAGAAACTAATAAAAATGAGAATCTGTAGAAAATGGGAATGGGGTAAAATGGGTCCACTCTTCTGAATATATTTTTATATAGTTTTTAAAAGCTGTTTCTTTTGAAGTCTGATATACATCCATAAAAATTCACAAGTCATAAGATAAAACAAGTGAATCATCACAAAGGGATCACACCTGTGTAACCACCTCCGCAGTCAAGAAATACAACTGTATCAGCACCACAGAAGGCCCTTCTTGCTGCCTCTAACCACGACATCCTCTCTCAAAATAGGAGAAAGTATTTGTCAATTGTATATCTGATAAGGAGTTAATATCCACAATATATAAGGACCTCAAACAACTAATAGCAAAAACAAGCAACTCAATTAAACAGTGGGCAGAGGACCTAAATAAACATTTTTCCAAAGATGTCCAGATGGACAACAGGTACATGAAAAGATGCTCAACATTACTCATCATCAGGGAAATGCAAGACAAAACCACAATGAGGTATCACTCCACCCCTGTTAGAATGGCAAGTATGAGGAGGAGAGGGAAGCCTCGTGCACTGTTGGTGGGAATGTAACTTGGTGCAGCCACTGTGGAAAACCGTATGGAGGTTCCTTGGAAAATTTAAAAATAGAACTACCTTGTGATCCAGCAATTCTACTTCTGGGTATTTATCTGAAGGAAACATAAATACTAACTCAAAAAGCTATCTACAGCCCCATGTTCACTGCGGCATTCTTACAATAGCCAAGACGTGGAAACAACCCAAGTGCCCATCAGTGGATGAACGGATACAGAAGATGTGGTGTATGCACACACTGGAATATCATTCAGCCATAAAAAGGAAATGCTGCCATTCGCAACATCGTGGAAGGACCTTGAGAGCATTATGCTAATTGAAAGAAGTCAGGCAGAGAACAACTACCCTGTGATCTCATGTATATGCGGAATCTTAAAAAAAAAAAAAAAAAAAAAAAAAAAGCCAAACTCATAGCTACAGAGGCAGAGGGTGAGGGGTGGGCAAAATGAGTGAAGGGAGTCAAAAGGTATGAACCTCTGGTTATAAGATCAGACCTGAGGATGTAATGTACAGCATGGAAACAACAGTCACGGTAACTGTCTTGTGTATTTGAAAGTTGCTAGGAGAGTAGATCTTAAAAGTTCTCATCACAAGAAAAAATCTTGACACGATGTATTGTGGTGGATATTAACTAGACTATCGTGGCAATCATTTCACAATATACACATATATCCTATCATTATGTTTTACACCTAACACTAAGATAATGATATATGTCAACTATATCTCAATGAAAAAAATTAAGTTAAAAAAAGGAAGGGAATTTTCCCCCAGTTGGGATATTTGCCTGACCTGATACCATGTGTCAAAGAGACCGTCTTTCCCGTCCACTTCACAATAAATCAAGCGTCTATCCATGGGTAAGTTCAAGTCTGGACTCTGTGTTCTGTTCTAATGGTACATTTGTCAACCCTTGCATCAAAATATACGCTTTACTTCCTGTATTTTTGGGAGCACTGGGTCCACTGCATTTCCAGATGAACATTAGAATCAACTTGTCAGTATCCTCCAACTATTCTGCTGGATCTAACCTGCTCTAGAGTGCACTTGTGTTCTCTTGCAGGTCAGTTTGGAGAAAATTGATTTCTTTCAATAGTGAGATTCTCTATCCATTAGCATAGCATACTCCTTCAATGATTTCATCTTTTATAACTTCTGTACGCATGCTTTGTAGTTTTCAGGTCCAGATCTTGGATACCTTTTGTTCAACTTATTCCTAGGTGTTTGCTATTTTTTATTCTTTTATTATTCCAAGTGGTACTAGTTTTTAAATTTTATTTTTTTTGCTGTTAGAATACAGAAATTCAATTGATTTTTATGTTGACATTATATGCAGAAAATTACTCAATAATGCTAATAATTTACTTGTAGATTCTTTTGGGGTTTCTACATACACAAGAATATTATCTTCAAATGGGAATTTGATTTCTTTCTTTCTGACCCTTATATTTTTATTTATTTATTTATTTTGCCTTATTTCACTGGCTGGGACCTGCACTATAATGTTGAACAGATGTGGTGATAGCAAGCATTCTTGACCCATTCTCAGGTCTAAAGGAAATACTTTCAACATTTCACCTTTATATATGATGTTTGCTAGAGCTTTTTTTCTGGTAAGTATCCTTTATAACATTTAGAACATTTTTTTCTATTCCTAGTCAATAAGGCATTTGATCAGAAATGGATATTGATTTTTGTCAAATACTTTTTCTGAATCAATTGAGATGATTCTATAAGCTTTTCTCCTTTGTTCTATTAACTTGGTGAATTACAATGATTGATTTTCATATGTTAAGCCTTGCATTCCTAGGATAAGCCCAAATTCACTGTCATATAGTGCTTTTTATATGTAGCACTGGATTTGATTTGCTAGTATTTTGTTTGGGATTTTGTATATATACTCATGGGAGAGATATGTTTGTTTTGTAATGTCCATCTCAGATTTTGTATTAATGTTAGCAGGCCGCATAAAATCCGTTGGAAAAAATGTTCCTTCTTTTTTCATTCTGTGACATTTGGGTATGATTGATATTACTCTTCCTTAAAAATTAGGAAAAATTCTCTGCTGAAGCTATCAAGCCCTGGAATTTACTCTGAAGGAAGGCTTTTAATCATAAATTCAGTATCATTGTTGATATGAGACTACTCAGATTTTCCTTTTTTTCTCAGATTTTATGTTTTGTCAAAGAATTTGTACCTTGCATCTAAATTAACGAATTTATCAACATCATGATGTTCAAAATACCTTCTCATTATCTTAGTACCTCTTTAAAGTAACATTTGTAATGATGTCTCTTTTACATTTCTCATCTTAGTAAATCTGTATTTTCTTCCTTTCTTTTTTAAACTAGCATGGCTGGAGGCATTCCAGTTCTAATTCATGCTTTTCAAACAACCAAATTTTGGTCTTATTGATTTTCTTTACAAATGTTTTCCATTTCTTACACTTATAATTTCTTTCCTTCTATTTTTGTTGAGTTTAGTTAACTGTTCTTTTTTGAATTTCTTGCGATAGGTATTTCTATGATTGACTCTTCAGCCCTTTCTTCTAATGAAATAAGGTTAACAAATATCAGTTTAATCACTGTTAGTTACATCCACGAGTTTTGATATGTCATAGTGTCATCATTTTGTTTAAAAATATATCCTTAATTTCTACCATTACTTCTTTGAACCACAGATTACTGATGAGCATATTGTCTAATTTTCAAGCATTCATAGTTTTTCTAGTTATCTTTCTTTTTCAGTGTGGTCTACAATAAGTGTGGCCATACATATTCTGTGCAGTTTCAATCTTCTGTATTTTGTTGAGATTTGCTGATGGCCTCACATAGTCTGCTTTGGTATGGTTTAATGTTGCACTCATCAAAAGTACGTATTCCTCAGTTGTTTGGTGAGTTTGTTTCTTCATTCAAGTCTTCTTTAACCTTAACAATGTTCTTACCCGTTGTTTTATCATTTACTTAAGAATGTGTTAAAATCTTCAATTATACTTGCAGGCATTGTCAATTTTTTCTTTTAGATCTGTCAGTTTTATATAGTTTGAATTTTTAAGTGAAATCCTTAACTTCTAAATGTAGAGAAATTATTCAAGTTTGTTTTAAAAATGGGGGGAAGCAAATAACCCTGCCTTGGATCTTGTCTGGTCTCTAGGCTGCCAGCCCCAGGCTCTACTCATTTCACCACCTTTGATTTCTTTTTACTCTCCCCCTGAGGGATGCAGTTTCCTGGGGGAAATGGTAGAGGCCCTGGTGGTTTTCAATGAGTCAGGAGGTCACCAGCACTTACACAGCCCCTTACTGGCTAAGATGGCCATAGCCTCTCTCTGCCCTGACACCCTTCCCAGCCTGGATTAAGGCTGCCAGAGGCCCTCACCAGGGCCAGTGGTTCATACCCAACCTTCCTCCTTTCTGTGCTCCTGCAGAAGTGAGGCTCACCTTGCATGCCCGAAGGCCCGAAGTCCTGCCGTGTGAGGAAGATGGCGTGATCGTGGTACTCGTCATGACCTGTGTCCGGCTTCTGTTGGAGGTAAGCCCAGCGGCAGACATTCTCCAGGCTCTGAGAGGGATTCCCAATCTCAATGAGGCTCATGGACTGCAGGAGGGGGGAGACACGGAAGTGAGGGATTAGCATTTGGAGGACCAGATGGGGATGAGCCAGCTGTAGTGCACAGACCCCCTCTACTGGGGGCTTGGTCCAGGTAGCGTTGAGTTCAGTCCCCCTGGGGACCCATCTCTCACTTGGCTCCACTCTTCTGAGCAGATGAAAGGCTCCCCAGTCATACACGCCTGCCTGGGTTTCCACACCCACTGCCCACTTTTCACGTAAGATGTGGTAGCAAGCTCTGAGGTCATCTGAGGCCTCACACAGTCCATCCCACTTAGGCTGCTTCCAGGGTTCCTGCAGTCTATCAGGCTCTTACTCTATGCTGGCCTTGGACAGGAGGCAAATGCAATGTGGACCTTCTGGGAGGGAAAGGGAGCCTTATGTTTCCCCCTGTTTGAAGGAATTACAGGAAACAACACAAACACAATGGAGGGAAAAAAACTGCAGCAGATAGGAGTTCTCATTCAGTCCTCACAACCACCCTGACAAGCAGGAAACTGAGGCTCAGAGAGGTCAAGTAACTTGCCCTTAGTCATACAGCTAGGAAACCTAAAGATCTATATTCAACCCCTATCCTAAACTGCATCCCCAAACAAAACATACACCATATTGTCCCCAAAGCAAGGCTCCTATATGGGGTGTGCTTTCCTTTCCTCTTTGCTGTCCTCATACCAGGCAGTGTATACACTCCTCTCACGACAAACTCCCACCACTGAATAGTTCTCTCTACACAGAGTCCTGAGCATGTGCTTCTCTTTAAGGATCCATCTGTCCATAAAGCAGAGATATTCATTCCTTAGTAGACATGTATGCAGGAAGTTCTGTTTCTGCCCTGGCATTAATACACCCATCAAGCATAGCCACATATTCTTTTTCCTGAATATAAGTAGCAAAGAGTAGATAAGGGTATTGTTGGTAAACCAGGCTGTTCCAGAAGAAGGAAGAATAACTCATGGCCAGGGAGGACTAGTCACTGCCAGGGTTCTCATGCATGATCCAAGTCAATGACTTACAAGATGGTGCACTAGTTCCCAAGTCCCAAGCACAGAGCACCTGGTAGATAAGAGAGTTTGACATAACGAGATCTAGTGAGCCCTAATGAAGGAAGTCACAGACTGGAATGAGAGGTGTGGGGACCAGAATCTGCTGGACACAGGCACAAAGATGGACAGCCCATAAGAAGCTGTAGCAGGGGAAGGGAGGTGCATTACTGCCCCAATCATGACTGGGAAGAGAGTGTGACTATCTCTGGCCTGTGAGGTCTGAGCAAAGTGACTTGTGCCTCTTTCTGATCGGAGTATTTAACTACTCACATGAGACCCTGCAGAGATCTCTCCTTGCTGGCATGGAAACCCAGCAATGTTGAGATGGTGGCTGCTCTGTCAACCAGGCCATGAGTGACAGTGACACTGAACACAGAACAGGAGCAGGAAATAAATATCTGTTGTAATCCCGAAGCATAGCCTTGCCCACCCTGACTGACACAGGAGGGGCAGAGAGAGTGTTGCATCTGTGTCCCATCTAAGCCAGATGTCTGCAGGTCAGCCTGAGCCCCTGCCAGACAGTAGCTTGCCTCTAGAAAAACTTGAGAGGTCACAACTCTAAAGAAGGAATCAGGTGAGAAAATCTCCCTTCTAGGGAAAGAGTTCTGTGTGGAAGGAGAAGGAAAAGACTCTCATGGGCAGATATGCTTTAGTGCTAGAATTTGGGGCCTGTGCTTTTAGTCTGAGTTTAAGATAGTCCCCTGAGTTTAAGATTGCCAGCCCGAGTTCAAATCAGAGGGAAGTTACAAGCCTGCTAATGAGCACTTCATCTAGGATGCCCACAGAGGCCCCACTGGAGTGTGAGCATACCACTCACAAAGCCGACACAGTAGTTCAGCAGTCTTGCCAGGCCACCTCCAATGGAAGAGGCTCTGTTTCCTCTATGGCTATGTCTTCCAGCCATAGGTCAGGAGGTTAGTCCTCATGATGGGCTGGTCTGCCCTCAGGGTCCTGGGGTTCCACACGTTGGGGTAATTCCAGTCCGATTCCCTCCAAGGCCCTGGTGGGCTTAAGTTACATTTGCCTATACTTGTCTGACAATAGCAGCCCAGTCCCCCTCCAGTCAAACATCCCCTCTGTCCATCTGGGTTCAACCCCAGGCTCAGTGGTGGGAGAGTTCAGGCCTGGCTAATCCCAGTACCACATCTTCCTAGTACTGTGATGGCTCAGTTTGAACACATAACCAAAGTGGGCCAAGGTATGTGAGACCTTGAGTCAGGAGCTGCTGGTACGAGTTCCCCCCGCCCCCGCCACCATGGGAAGAGACCTCACCTGAGGAAGAAGCCAACCCAGAAAGAGAGCAGGGCCCAGACTATAGAAGGTTCAATTCCGTGTCCTCACATGACCACCTGGCTCACCCAGGCCCGAGGTCAGCCTGCTGGGGATCTGTTTGTTATGTCACTACATAACAGGTTATTCCAAACCTGTTTATGGTCTGAAAACCTTCAAACATTTATTATCTCACAATTTCTGTGGGTCAGGAATCCAAAAGCAACTTAGCTGGGTACTCGGGATCAAGGGCTCTCCCAAGATTGCTAGCAAGCTGAGGCTGGAGCTGTGGTCTCATCTGAAGGCTCCCCTGGGGAGGACCAGCTCCCATGCTTCCTTATGTGGCTGCTGGCAGGACTCAGCTCCTCCTGGGCTACAGGACCAAGGGTTACTGCCACACTCCAGAGCACTCACCTACCACAGGCTGCTTCCTCCAACATGAATGACCCAAGAGAAAGCAAGACAGTGCACATCCAAGATAGGAACCACAGTCTATTTTTAAGGGAATCTCGGTCCTGCCCACACTCAAGGGGAGGGGACAATGCCAGAGTATGAATATGAAAAGGCAGGGTCACCAGGGGCCATCCTAGAGGCTGCCTGTCACAGAGATGCATCTCATGTGTCAATTTGAGCTGTGTTATTATCACTTGCTACTGCAAGTCTTGAGCAACACACTTCCTCCTTAGGGGTCCAGCTGGTTTGCCCCACACCAGTGGGAGAACAACCCTGGCCACATCTTTGAGGAGGAGTCAAAAGTCTAGCCAGAAAGACACACCCATTTCAGGGCCAGAAAGCAGATAAAGGACCACAGGGCCAGGGACAGAACCAAAGGCAGGAGTCAGGCTGAAAGAAAGAGGCTGAGGAGGAGCAAGGTGGGGGACGAGAGAGAGGCCAGAATGCTGAGGAAGTGGGCTTATGGGAAATGCTGGGCAGGTGGTGTACACCTAAATGCCGACAGGGGCAAGGCAGGTGATGTAAATCAGTGAGTGAGGCAGACTGATTGTAAGAAAAACCAATCTAGCTTTAGTTTTGTCAGTTTAGAAAAATTTTCCCACCCTGATAAAGAAAGTGGGGGGGGGGATTGATCAGTGGCAAGGGAGGACAGTAGGAAAGCAAGGAGCTCGTGTACAACTGTTGGGGCAACAGCACTCAGTGCCCAGCTACTGTGGGTATGTAGAAATGGGGGCCCGGAGCTGCCAGATTGGATTTCTCGGGTCAATCTTCAAATTTGGATTTTACAAAGTAAGCCCACCTCAGGGTAAATGTTGGCTCCAATGAAAGTAAGTTATGTGGACAAAACAAAACACATCCTCCAGGTCACTGGCTTGAGAACCCTGGAGTAAAGGTCCTCAGGCAGACAGCCTCTACAACACGCCCTTCTTGGTTGGCCCGACCCTGGCAAGTGCCTCCTTCCTCCCAGAAATACCTATGGTTCAGCCCAGGATCCCAGGCCCTCTGGCAGCCGGAATGATTTTGCTGCTGCAGCAGGATAATTTATTGAAATATTGATTTGCATTTTGTTCTAGCCTTATCTTTGCCCGTGTCAAGAAGGCAGCCTGCCACGTGTTCTCCGGTCCTGCGGGGGCTTGTGCTGCAGGCACCAGAGCAGAGGTTGTCTGGGACCCCCTCCTCTCAGCTTTTGGGTTCTGAGGGCACTCCCTGGGGAGGGGGCAGAGAGAAGGGCTGGGAAGGGCTGTGCCAGGACAAAGTGGTCCCGGGGAGGCAGATCTCAGAAAACACTGGTAGTGTGTTGGGCCCTGGGAGCATGCGGCCCAGATGGCACTCTGAGAGATGGAAGAGGAGGATGACATCAGCTTTCAGGCACCCAAGAGGCAGAGCTGCTTGCACATCCTATTTCCCTGCCCATGTCCCAACTTTCTCAACGTTCTGGCCCATCTAAGATGGGCACAAAGGAAACAAGGACCAAAATCCTTATCTTTGTTGGGCCTGGAGCATTCAGGAGGGTGTGGGTACGCAGGGGCCAGCCTGTGACCTGATAGTGACCTGTGCCCCACAGCAGGCACAGGGCCCCTGGGTCAGAGAAGAGGGAGGGAACACGGGAGGGGAACAGTGTAGAGCGGGTGTATTGCAGGGGCCATATCAGCTGAATCAGGATCACAGGGTGACAGGAGATGAGCAAGAGAGGTATGGGGGCTGGCAGGTCAGGGAGGAAGAGGCTTCTGGCCTTGGTGGAAGGTGACAAGGGGGCCTACACAGGATGTGGGAGGAGAGGCTTGCAAGCTTGTTGGGGAACTGTGGGGTCCATGGAGTCTGGGGAGACAATCAAGGGACTATCTTCTCCCACCCAGCTTGCTTGCTTGGGAAGAACTTGGCAGTTTTGCTTTGGGGCTCTCTCCCGCTCATCTGGGTGTAGTGCCTGGGGGATCAGTCCAAGTGCTCTGCTCACCCCTGACAAGGGCTGGCCTGGGACCAGAGTGAGGCCAAAGGAGCAGAAGCTCAAAAGGACCAGACAGGTTGAAGCAGGTTTTCGGGGAGAAACCCCCCAAAACAACCTCCCATGAGCCTCTGTCTCCTGCACCCCAGGCTCAGCCTTTCTTCCACCAGCTCCTCTCCTGGCCTTCCCACAAATTCCTGGAACTTTGGAGGACTGGCAGACAGAGATGTCCACGCAGAGGGCCCAGGAGAGGGTCTGGGCCAGCCCATGTGGGTCTCTCG